AGACCCATCTGTAGCCAACTCCTTGTGCCCACAAGTGGTATCAGAAGGGTTATTTATGTGTACAAAGATGAGCAGGGCTGTTCACATGGCTTTTCATTCCCATTTATTGCTTAGCGTGCAAACGGCACCACTCAGTGACACCCAACGCAAGGGGAAACCTTTTGCTGCACAAAAAAAACCAACAAAAAATATTGTATTTGACACCTGTGTCTTCACTCTCCCTACCGAAACTCCCCCTTTTGGCCCATCCTTGGGAGCACTCTTCTTGTCCTGTTCTGCCCAGGTTTTGGAGACAATCACCGGCCCAGGGAACACCAGCACCTGCCCCCTGCCCACCCCGAGCCCCTCTTACCCCAGAGCACCAGGAGCCCACCTAGAGCCCCTCTACCCCCGGGGCATCAGGAGCCCACCCAGAGTCCCTCTGTCCCCCTGGGGCACCAGGCATCCAATTTGAGGGCACGAGGCATCCATCCTGAACCCTTCTTACACTCGGGGTACCAGGCACCCACCCCGAACCCCTCTTATTCCCGCATCGCCAGGCGCCCACTCCGAGCCCCTCTACCCCCGGGGCATCAGGAGCCCACCCCAAGACTCTTAACCCCAGGGCACTGGGCGCCCACTCTGAGCCCCTCTACCCCCATCTACCTCCGAGCACCAGGCGTCCACCACGAACCCCTCTTACACCCAGGGTACCAGGAGCTCGCCCCAAGACCCTTTTATCCCCCGGGGCACCAGGAGCCCACCACGAGCCCCTCTACCCCCCTCTACCCGCGGGGGGAACCAGACACCCATCACCGCGACCCCATCACCACCCCCTCGTCCCCTCCCCGCAGGCACCGCCTGCGCCGGTCGGGGCCATCCCCGCGGCCGTGTCTGTGCCCGTGGCCGTGTCCGGGCTCCCCCCACGCCGCCCCGGGGCGGGGACTGCGCCGTGGGCGGGCGGGGCAGGCGGCGCGTCCCGGGGCATCCGATCCATCCGCTCCGCTCCGCTCGGGCGGTCCCTTCGCCGCCCGCGGGTCGAGCCCAGCGCGGGGCTGCGGCCGCCGCCGAGCGCTCCGCGGAGAAAGCTCCGGAGCCGCGGCCCCCATTATGCTCAGCCATGGCGTGGCTGCCGGGCGGGCTGGCCGAGCTGCGCTGGGGCGCGCTGGTCGCCCTGTTCGTGGCGGCGCTGGCCACGCTGGCCGTGTACCTGGTGCAGTACGCGCTGCTGGCGCTGCGGAGCCGCCGCCGCCGCCCGCCGCCTCTGCCGGCTCCCGCCGCTCCCGCTCCGCGGGACGAGCTGCTGGACGAGGGCGGCTCGGTGCTGGCCTGGGCGCTGTCGCGGGGCAGCTGGAGGCGGCAGTGGCGCCGGGCCTGGGTGGCCGCGCTGCGGGCCGAGGCGGCGGAGCGGGCGGTGAGTGCCGGGGATGCAGGTGAGGGAGGGATGGGAGAAGGGGAGGGGGGGGATGCCCGGCCGGGATGCTGCGGGCGGCGCCCCGCGCTCGCCGGGATGGGGGGGGTAGGGGGTGGGGGACGCGGCTCCGGGCTGTCCCCGCTCCTAGGGACGCCGCGATTTGCTCCGGGGATAAACCAGGGTGTTGCCGGCGTGCTCCTGCCCCTCCGTGTGTCTGTGTATTTACACGTGTGCGTTTGGTGGTTGCTCGGCGGGGGTTTGCAGGAAGGAGCCGGGCAGAGGCACGGGATGGGCGCACGCGTGGGAGCTGGGGAGGATGGGGGAGAAAGGGAAGCCGCGACCCCCGCAGCCCCTGGCAGGGGTTCCCACCGCCGATAACATTGTTCGGGCGTGGGGAGGAGGAAACAATGGAAACTTCCTGGCCTGGGCCTGCGGCCCGTCCTTCGGCAAATAATTCCCAGAGCTGGGCTTCCCCCGTGTTGCCTCAGGCCCTGCTCAATCCGTGTGTGTGTGTGTAGTGTAACTCCAAAGGCTGGCGTCCCTCAGACCTGCTGGATGGTGGGATGCTCAGGGTTTGGTCAGTTTGCTTTTAGCCTGGGGCAGGTTGGGATGCACGAAACGTGGCATTCCTTCCCATCCCAACCTGCCCTTCCTGCAAAGGGCACAGCGTGGGATCCTCCTGCTCGTTGGTGTGTAGTGGCATGCCCGGGTCTAAGAGGTGAAGAGCTTAGGCGAGGCTGTGGCAACCTGATTTCCTTGTCCTGAGGACTGAACCCTTGTCATGTCAGTGGAAAATGCTGAGGCTAAACTACCTAGGAAGCGGCATGTCCCCAGGTCTCCAAATTTCCTCGCATCCCTCTCCCTGGGGGAGGCCTCTTAGACCTGGGAGGTTCCGTTCTTCTTGCACGTCAGGGCAGAAGGAAGAGTGGGGCACCATGTGTGAGTGAAAGATAAGGGATATAAATTTAACACTTTCCGAGTTAGGGCAGCGGGAGGAAAATACTTCGTCCGCCCTTTCAAATATGCGTGCTGAGAAAAACACGGGGCTGTGCTGAGAAAGGAAGGGTTTGCCCTGCGGGTTGCGGGAGAGAAGAGCCCAGACAGCTCGGGCACAGGTGCTGGGAACTGAAAGTGAACCGGGCACAAGTGGCAGCTTCCCGTCCCCGAGCAGGGACCGAAGCGGCTCCGACAGGGACACGCACACCCTTCCCCTGCCCGAGCGAGCAGCTGGAGCGCCGAGTTCCCCGCCGGGCACTGCAGCGTGGCCGTGCTCCCGCTGTCAGGCTCCCAAAACAATGTCAGCGGCGCTCGGCCCGTGAAATTCCTGCGTGCGAAAACAGGGCCGGGTGACGAGGGGAGCGGGGAGCAGGTGGGGAATGCAGCGCTGATGCTTCTCAAAGTATGACCTCACTGCCAAAACGCTGCCTTCCCCTCGCTGCCTTGTATGGAGGCTGGGTTGGCTGTCAGCGCTGCCTGCCGTCACAGACAGGGAGGACCGGGGAGGAGAAGCCTTCTTTCCTCACCTCTGCAAGATGATTATTTGGGGCTTCTTAGTTTTGGCACAGCCTAGTGCGGCCGTGTTATTGGGCCAAAGCAAACAGGCCTTTTTAAACTGCAGCACTGATAAAATTCTTACTCAAGAGGAGCAGTTTCGCTGTTGCTTTTGCCCTGCACTGTGCTGTGCACCTTGGCGTTCTGCTGCGAAGATGAGTTATGATTAGGCCCGTGGTTATGTCCTAAGTATATGTTTTCAAGCTCTACCCTATATTATGTAGTGAGGTGTCGTGCAATTAATACATGGAAGTTTTGACATACATTTGCAATTCCAGGAACTTGACTGGCAGTGCATTTTTTATCACTTGTTTTCAAGCAATGGCTTCGTCACCTAATGATGGATGGTTCTTTTTTTTTTTTCCTTCTTTCTCAGGATTCTCAGCTGCTCACGTTTGAGGAAGATGACCCACCAGAACCACTTGAGCTGGCAGTTAAAGAAGTAATTAGTGTTGTAAAGTCAGCTGAAGAGAAGGTAAACTTTGGATTCCTTGTGTTCCATTGTACTTTGGGGCAGGAAACGTTAACTTTTATTAGCGTCAGTGGGAGCTTTATTTGTCAGTACTCCTGTACCCTTGACCCACGTTTGCTGAGGCTGGTAAGAGGCTGCCTCTCTTAATAAACCTCTGCATTGATTCACTTCTTTTGCAAGTCATGAGCAGAAGGTGCTCCAGGGCTTCTACCAAACGAACAATTACCAGGGTTATGCCAAATTTATGGGTACGCCCTCCATGAGCTAATAGAGCAGAGCCCTCTCCCCCACCTACACAGTCCTTGGGATGGCTCCCCACCCTGTTGTTGAAGAGTGGGGAGAGGACTCCACAAAGAAAGAAAGGGACATTTCTCCTGTGGGATAGGAAAACATCTTTGCCTGCCTCTTGTTGTTTGTGTGGCTGATGACAGGTTTGCTTCATAAGTGGGAGCTGGGTAAGGATCACTGGAAGAGGTGCAAAGTCCTGGGGGTGAAGTCTTGGCTGTGCTCAATCCTGTGAGAAGCAAGTGATTTCCTTCTTCCTCTGCCACTGCACATACTGGGAGGTGTTTTAGTGCCTGTGAAATTAAAACAAGGCAGAGTGTGGCTCTTAAAACAGGGCAAAAATGCATTAAAAGGAAAAAAAAGATCTATGTATGATTATTATTATTCTGCTTTTTTGTCCTAGTGGCTGTAAGTGCTGCTTACATCCGAGCTTGTGCTCAGCTTTAGGCACCTGCATCAAATTAGCCTGCAGCTTTTCTTTTAGTTGTGCTCTGTTATTTTGCTTTGCTTGTCTGATTTAGATGTTAAGCAGCTCTACTATGATTCCTCTGAAAACTATGCATGCTTATCTGCCTGATACACAACTCAGAGGCACACCCTGACTGGTGGCAGCTGGGGGATTGTGAACTTGTAAAGTTGTTTGTGCACTTGTTTTCTCTCTTTTTATTTGGTGGATTGTTTTTTGTTTGGTTGGTTTTTTTCCCTCACAGAAATGGGGGTGGAGAGACTGGATTTAGTGGGGCTGTAGAGGTGGCACAAGTGTTAACTCTGTGCCACTGGAAGACACCACGATGGGGAACTGTAAGGAGAGGGGGCTGCTAGGTAAAGCCAGCACCAGATCTGCTGCAAATAAAAACTGGCAGATAACAGCACAAGAAACTGTTGTCTTGCAGGCCAACATTTCTAAAACATTGCTGGAAATTGGGCAGGGCTGCAAATGTGTGTGCATGGGAGAAGGCCAGGAGGAGGTCTGGGCCTTCTGGCTGCCCTTGGGCAGTGAGAGCATCATTATCTCCAGGCTGAAACTGGTGCCTGTGTGCCAGAACCAAGGCACAATGCTGCAGTCCTGGATTCCCCTGAAGTCTTGTCATACCCAGGGAACGTTCTGCTGCAGTCCTCAGCTGACCTGGGTGTTGTTACCCTGTAGGTTCTGACAGCCATAGCAGGGTGTTAAGTCTTTTTTCCCCTGCTGTGGTGAAGTTTGGGCAGCAGGAAGGAGCAGGGGCTGACTCTGTGGCAGCCTGAATGCAGGGAACTTCCCTCTCTCTCTCACTACCTGTGGCTTTGGAATCCTCCGCCCTCCCTCGTGCAGTCTCTGGTCCTTCTCTCTGACCTTTGGTTGAACCATCTGAGCATGTTAATCGAGCTGTTGCACTGCAGGCAGCAATCTGATGAGGTTTCGAAGCAGCTTATATTTAAGCACATTTAAAAATTTATTCGACTAAACCAGGTTTGCTTTCATCCTCTGGGTTGTTCTGAACTGTTCCAAAAAACCCATTTCTATAGCCTTGTGCACAGCTGCTGGAAGAATTTCTCTAAAATATTCTTACTCCTTCAGTTAAGGTTGCAACCTCAGTATTTATTTGAATTTCAGTGTACAATAACCTTAGAGTGGCACTCTGGTACCTACTTTCCCTTCTCCCTTAAATGCATGCCTTTCTCCAAACACCTCAGGAGTTCTCTTACATGATAATTGTCTCTTACATATTCCTCAGGTAATATCAGGGTCCAAGGGGGTTTTCTTGTGGTGTTTTCTTCCCCTCCCCTTGCTCTTCAAGCTCTCGGTATTTGCATGTGAAATTGAAACATCTCTTTGCAGTTTGTCCAAACTGAAGCTTCTGGTACGTGTTTGTAAGTTCTCTACTGGTGCGACTGGCTCTGGATGCAGTTTGTGACCACGTGCTGTGTGTTTGCCAGTGTTGTAGCATCCCACAGAGCTCTGCACTTGCCTGAGGCATCAGCTCACACAAGACTCTCTTCCTGCAACCTGTTCAGCGTGCTGCTTGACTTGTGATCTGTACGGCAGGAGCGTGTGGGTGCCCTGGCTCGGCAGCCGGGGTTTGATTTACTGCGTGTCGTTTCAAATGTGGCTTTGGCCTTGCATCAGAAGGGCCGTGGCCACCCAAGGAAGCAGAGGATTGAGGGTGAGGGGTCAAAATAGCAGTAAACATGGGATGTGCAATGCTCTCATGCAGCTGTGTGCTGATAGAGGCTTCTATCAGGTGGGTGGTCCTCTTGTATGCTGGGCCGTGGAGCACAGCCAGGTGATGAGCCTGGGAAGTCTTACTCAAAAAAAAAAAAAAAACAGCCAGGCAGGCTGTAATTATTATATTACTCCTGCCAGCCCTGTTTATGACCAGGACGTGGGCTGACCCCCGCAGTCCTTAGGTATGTACCCACCGTCCCGGCCTTGAAGAAGCTGAAACTCCGTGGTGAAACTGCGTGTGCTGCACAGTGAAATGCTGCAGACATGGCTGGAATGCTGCTGCCTCTCAGCTTGGCCAAAGCTGTTGTGGTGGGAACAGAGCTGCTCTGTGGCTGAAGGTTACACCACGCTGCTCCTCGATAAAGCCTCTGTTTATGTGTCGCCTTCACTCCCAGTTTTGGGCCGGAGCCTAAACATATAGAATGAAGCGTCCTGTTTTTCATTGTGTGGTATTGGCTGTTTTGTTTTGATAAAGTAAACATTAGGAATATTCTTAGCTGTTTCTGCCAGCCTTTCCATGAGTGCAGTCTGTTTTCAGAGGATTTGAACTTCTCAACAGTGACAGCGACAAAAAAGGCAACAAAAAGGAAGATTCACTTGCTGGGGACTTGGCACAGAGGGTTTGGATGGAGCAGGCAACCACAGAATTCTCCTTTCTTTTTCTGCTTCGTGCTTAAATGGAAAGGGGTAAATTTTCTTCAGAGTGCCATTCCTTTAATGAGTGATAATAAGTTGCTATATTGTCTTTTACCTTCAGTTTTGCTTGAAAAGCTGTCCCAGAGCTTTGCTGCTTTAATGACTGGATGTTTTGTTGTTTTGGGTTTTTTTTTACAAACCTAGGTGGAATTATGGCCCATGCAGCTTTTATATATATATTTTTTTTTAAGTTTCTGTAGTAGTATAACCTTTTATCCTTACTGTGTTTATTCTTCTTCCATGGTTCTTGCTGTCAGTAAATGTATTATGAAGGAATTATATTTCCTTCCAGCTTTTGTTTAACTTTGCTGCATAAGCTGCTTCTTAAGTCTCCTTTCACGATGTTGTCCTGGTTCATAAGTCTCTCCATTCTCAGCAGCAGCTCCAACTAAATCCTTGTTCTTGAACTTGGTGACTGAAGTGACACAGGTGAGGTCTCACTGTGCAAGGAGACAGCTTCTTTTAGTCCCTGAAAGTACTTTCTTGAGGGGTTTTAGGCTCCAATCTGCCTCTCCTGTGGCTTCTTCACACTGTGACGTCTGATTTGTTGCATCCAGGTCTCTCTCCCTGTGGTGTTCTCCCAGTGATAAGATGCCCTCTGTATGAGGAGTAGTTGTTAATTCTTACACAAACACACACGCTACATATTTTGTATTGCATTTCTTTCCTGCATTTCAAGGTTTTTTGGCTCTGCTGTGCGATGTCCTGGTTTTTCTTTATGTTGCCACTTCCCAGCTTACTTTCCTCAGCGTCACACTTCCTTTCAGGTTTCTCCTGAGGGATTTTGGATGTTAGCTATGCGATAGGTTTGATCTGCAGGCTCCTTTGTAAATTGTTTCTAGCTTTCACCTCCCTGCTTGCCGTCCTCTCCCTTTGAAAAAAAAACCATCCCCATTCCCCTTAACGTGGGAATGACAGACAAAACAACACGGTGATCCAAGATAATTCAGAACTGGGTGTCTTGTCCGAGGAGTACATCAGGGTGGGGGCTTGTTTGCTTCCCTGGAGATGACACTGGTTTTGGCACTGTCGGGTAGCCTGTCCTGTCTTCCAGTTGCTACTGCAGGTGTGTGTGGGCCTCCTGAAGGCTCGTGCCACATCTCCTGGCTTGGCACAGGGATCAGGGATGCCTCAGCACCCCCACACAGGTACTTTCTGTCTCTGCAATTGAATTGCTCTCCAAGCTACTGTAGCACAAACTGGCAAACCTCTCTGTTGTCTCCTGCTGGCCCCCCTGTCTTCAGCTGTGCTGTCCCTCAGGTGGTTTGTGAAGGCTTGCACATCAGCAAGGCTGAACCAGCAGGTCTGTTTCTGTTATTTATTTATTTATTTATTTATTTATTTATTTCCCCCCTTCTGAAGTGTAAGGACTGCTCGCTGTCCTTGCGCTGTTTGATACTCACTTAACTTGATAGGTGGATTGAAAATTCTTCCTGACCCGTTTCCTTGTACTCCCTGCTTGTTTGTTTTACCCCCTCTCCCCTTCCCTCCCCCCCCCATACTTGAATCTGTGTGTGTCGGTCTCAAAGGAGTGGATAAATTCACGTTTTATCAGTTTCTACCTTGTTTTTGTGGCTGAGATGGAAGCTCTCTCTCCTGCGCTCGTTCCATCACTCACCCTGCCTTCACCGTGGTGCTTACCACCGGCTGGGAAAACTTACTTGAGGTTGTCTCATTGCATTTGCAGGCAGATTCACTTTGATACCAGCTCCTAAAAATCCACACCCACCCGTGCCTGGGCTAGACACTGCATTTGTCTCCTCTCCTTCATTTGATCTGTGTCACTTGGTAAACTGGGTAACGAGGGGTTGGTGAAGAGGCTGGAGAAACCCCTCCCCTCAAGAATTTAAGGCATTGGCTCTGGTAAACAAAGGAGATCATGTAATTCTTCTTCTGAACAGCTGAGTGTTAGTGGCTATCAAAAGGCACAAGTTTCTGACTGGAAAAATTATCTTGTGGTGAGGTTTTAAGCCAGGCACACGAACTCCGTGTGGCCGCTGAGAAGATAAGTTTTCCGTGCCAAAAAAGAGCCTTCCGTGAGTAGCACTCCGGGAGAAATTTGGGAAATTGTGAGGATCCTAAATCTGATCCCCTGCAGCTGAGATCAAGGCAGCTTTCACTCTGTGGTTGCCTCATGGTGAATACTAATTTGCCTGTGAAAATGTTAAATATTTGTGCTACTTACATACTACTGAGTAACCTCGAGTAACCTGTTCTTTCTGCAAATAAACACCACGTGCTGTAAAACTGATTTCCTTCCAGAAAACAATCAAGAAAGGCAATCGAGGCCTGTACTGCCCTGGGGTTTTACACACACATGTGATGTGGTCAGGGCCTGGGGAAGGTGAAGAACATCTTCCCCATCAGAGCTGTCAGAACTTCCCCCTGAAGTCACAGCCCTTCAGCTCAGGGAGGGAACCTGCTGCTGTCCTCAGAGAGGGGAGGGAGGAGGAGTAATAAAGAGGGAACGTGTAAGATTGTCAGGGTGCCAATGCCAAAGCTGAAACCTCAAGGTGTGAGGAACAGGGGCAGTGTGATGCTTCTTGAGATGCAGCAGCATCTGTTGCTACTTCAGGAAGGAATAAAAACTGAGATTTTTGCAGCTCTGTCCAGAGGAACTGCAAAGGGAATATGTTGAGATACAAAGGGGGAGGGCAAAGCAAGGGGAAGGGTTTTAATAGCTGTGAGTACACAAGTTTGGAAACTTGAGTGTCTAAGAAAAATAGTCTTGCTCCAACTGCAGTGCTTTTTCAGGCTCCTTTGTTCCTGCACTTGTTTATCTGGAAGAGAATTGGTTTCAGGATAATTGCACTAACAATTTTAGATACGTGTAAGCAAGTTGTGTCACAGCACCTGCAGGTCACTGGGGGACAAAGCCCAGCTGGGCTGAGGAGTTTTGCCACCGCAGCTCACCCCCAGCATGGGCCAGTGTGGCCAGGGAGGGAGAGGGGAGGCTGGGGAGTGGTGAGGAGGCAGCAGGAATAACCCTGGCACGGGGGTGATCATATGCCAGGAGTCAGCTGGGTGTGGGAAGGGATGGCAGAGGACTGAGGAGGAGCAGAGGGAGATCCCCAAAGCTCATGGAGAGACCTTGGCTGGTGATGGGGTGTTTGTGCCAGGGGAGGTGCTGGAGGGGGAAAATACCTTGGCCTTGGTTTATTTGTGCTTCTGTTTTACTTCCTTAGAAGATCTGTCTTGCCCAGATGGAGGACCACAAAAGAGAGCTGGGAGGTGACCCCTCTGGGAGTCCAGAATTAGCTGGTCCCAGCTTAATTTTTAAAAAGCAGTTTCTTATAAAATATGGAAGGTTTTCTAGACTCTAAAACACGAAGTGCTGATGACTGGGGATGTCCCTGGTAAGTGTGGTGGGAGAGAGAGATGAGGTACATAAATGAGGTTGAAGGGCAACTCTCTTCCCATTCAGGTTCCTCTGTTTTCTTGTGGATGTCTATCCGTCCTCTTTCTCTCCCCTGTTGACCGGAAAGGGATGCTTTGCCTGATCCTCCCTTCTCCAGCTCTTCATCTGTGCAGAGAAAATGAGTTTGAGGGAGCAGGTTGGATTGGGATATGGGGAGGGAGAAGGAACATAGCACAGAAAGCTTCCCTATTTGTCTTTGTGTGACTGTCCTGGGGAAATTGGCCTTTATGTTTCTGCTCTGGTCTATCAAAGTCATCTACACTTCTAAAGGAATGTCACTTAACGAGGGAAACAGCAGTTGTGGTCTCTTTAATCAACTTCTCACCACTTGTGGCAGGATCTTAAATGGAAACAGAATCACTTTCTCTTCAAATTCTAGCCCAGAATTCTGCTGCTCTCAGTGTTCTGACCCCTTAATCCATCCTGATCCCAGAACAAAGGGATTCACCTGATATAAAGATATATTATTTTCCATTTACAAACATGGAACCCACTCCTTTTTCTGATTGGATTAAAAAAAATAACACTTCTATACCTGAAGACCACAGTTATTTTACTAAAAGTGAGGGCAGAAGGGGAGTAGGACTTAACAGATGTCTTGGCAGAAAAATAAAAGTACAAACCCTACTGGTTTGGGCTTTGAAGCTAAAGGTAAAAACATTTTTAAAAAATAATTTAGCATCTCTTGACGAAGTGTAGAAAGAAGAATGAAAGTTTCTGCACTCTGTTTCCCTGCTTTACTTGGAATTAAACATTATTAAGAAACAAGTGGCACATAAACTCTCTGGCCACACTTCTTTGTTATTTTTAAAGCATTAATCAACCTCATACCTGGCAATCTGGGCTCCTAGACATACAGAAATTCCAGATGACTGGCTCTGCATCACATGTGCACCGAGTCCAACTTGTTTTGAATGCACTGAACTTCCCGTGGATGTGTGGATGAAATGTGCATGGATGATAAACCACTGCATTTAGGACAGGCAGGTGTTGGCAGCTTTTGCATCAGGCCTGTCCTTTTTGCTCATCTGCCCTCTAAAAAGAGGGAAGAACCTGTTTATTTTTGAAGTCTTCCAAGAGCCAGTCATGTCAGTCCACCATGAGTGGAGTGATTCTGTGTTTCAACTGAGCTACAAGTGAAATAAGCAGTTGAGCTCTTTGTTCTTGTTAGCTATTAAAAATGCCTTAAAATCCTTTATGTTTTACCTTAATAATGGATGTTCATGTTGATTGTGTGGGATTAATGCCAGAAATCACTTCTGAAGGCATTTAGACTTTGGGAAAGGGGAGAGGTGGGGGAAAACTGATTTGTCCACTTCTAATTTGCAGAAGACAAACACGAAAAGGCGAATCTTGTTGCTCGTGGGTGTGGTTGGGATTTTTATTTGTCATCTTTGCCCCACCCCCCCTGCTCCTTTGTGATTAAGTCTCTACCTTAATGGATGTGCTCTGAAACCCTTGCTAATGCTCTGGCCGTCCTTAAAACGTCCCCTGGAGAGCCCAGGGAGATGAAATATATTTAAGGAGAGGCCGACAAGGATCTTCCAGAAGGAACGTGATTCACTCTAAAGCCTTCAGCTCCAATTCCAGTGCCCACAAGCGGAGCAGGGAGTGCACAAACACAGTTTAAGAGCGTCGTGCAGAGTTTCCATCAGACGAATCTCGCGGCGAGTTAATTTGTCTGCGCATTGCATTGACCTGATTACCTTTGCCTGAGTCAGTCTGAGGAGGGCTCAGCTGTCCTTTCCAGTGGAGCTGTGGGGACAGTAACCACAGAGGAGGGACAGCGACAAGCAGATGTCTCCAGCCAGCAGGTCTGGTTGCAAAGTGAACGTGTCTCTGTGGTGTAATGAATGTTTTCTGACTTCTGTCCTCGGGGGCTTTCCCTGTGCCGCCAGGCGCTTTCCTGCACGCTTCAGGAATTTTTCCTGGCAGCTCCAGCACCCCAGTCAGTTTGCAGCAGGAGAGGGAGGGGAAAACTATTCGGTGTTTGTAAACTCAGTGTGATAACAAGTTAAATTGCTGCTCATAAAAGTGAGGGAGTGGACTCAACAAAGCCTGTCGCAGTCAAGTGGCATACAGAGTCTTCCCAGATGCTTAGTTTTGTCACCAGATATCAGGACCTTTCTTGGTTTGGCCAAAGGCTTGAAGGCTCCTTTTTCTTCCCATTCCCCTGGGAAATGGAATTACTCAGGCAAAATCCTCTTCTGTAGCAGAAGGGTTATGCCAAAGTTTCACATGTGTAGGATACCACTAAACTAAAGATTGTTTGGTAAAACCAGCTGCCCTGTGTCAGACTACTTAGTTCTGAGCAGAAGAGGAAGAAGAACAAACATCTTTGTCTCCCCTTCTGCAAAATTGCCTCTTTGAGCTTTTAGTATCTAGATATATGAAACTGAAAGGAGTCAGGTGAGGAGTTACTTTTGAATTAGGTAATAATACAAAAGAAATTTTGAGAAACACCATAATTTGCAGGCCTTAAATTTCATGTGCAGAACTGAACCCTTGAACTACTTTTTTTTTTGGAAGAATGTACAGAAGGAGGTGGGAACATTCGCGAAACTGATGAGGAATTTCCCACCTGTGGAATTTAGCATAATTCTGATAACTTAAAGCCCTTCCTTAGTTCCTTTCTTACTTTTCACCAAACCTTCTGAAGACTAACTTGTTTCTCTCTTCCTTTGTTTCCCCTCACCCTTTTTACTTCTCTAGGTGATTTCTTGCAACGTTGTGGGAGATTCTGTAAGGTTTGTTGTCGCTGTCTCTGACCCTTCGCCCACAGCTGCCGAGCCTCGGTCCTACAGTGTGAAACTGTCTCCACTTCACTTGCAGGTAAAGGGTTCCTCTCTCTTCTCTCTGTTTTGTTCCATTTCATCCTGCAGCCGTTTGCAAACTGCATATTCACTTTGTGTTAACTCTGGTAAAACACTTAGTAACGTTACGCTTTCCCTCTGGGGCAAGTGGTGGATTCATAAATTATGCCGCCTCTTCAGGAGACTGTGGATAAATAACGGGTTGGGTCGAGTAGCTGGATGTATAGAACAATTCCCTTTTTTGACTGGCATACACTCTCAGAGATTAAGCACCTTCTGCCTTCTTGGATGGTTGCTTTGAAGTTACTTATAACATTCTTCCTTTGTCAAGCCTCAGTATGGGGCTCGGCCCACAGTTTCTCTACAGAACACCAGAACACTCTCCAATAACTGCTTTCTTATCCACAGCTCCAGCTCTCTGTGAAAGACAAAGGAGAAGATGTCAAAGTTGAGTGGTTCCTCATTAACACCAATGAAATCAACTTTGAAATCCAGCCAGCAGTGCAGGAGGTCAGTCAGTAAGTTTTATTTGCTGTAATGGTGGAGAAGATGGCTCTCCATCCCTTAGGTCCAAAACACAGTGTAAAGCCTCTGCCATGGCTTGGTCACCAAACCCCTCCATCCCTGAAATCTGGGATCATCTACAGAGATTACTGAGCCATTAGGGATAAATCAAGTCTGTGTTTGATGGATAAATAACTTGGCAAACATTTTTCGTCCAAATTCAGAAGTGTGAAAAATGTCTGTTCAAAAATACCTTCTCTCAGAGCACTTCTGAAATAATTAAAAAAAAACCCAATTGTAATGGTATCCCCATCAAAGCAATTGCAAAGTTGCTCCTTCCTTAGTTTAAACCACTTTTGAAATCTGGCAACGATAGTTCAGAAATAGCTGTGAAAAAATTCAGCTGTTTAAGGAAATGATGGACAATCTGAAAATATTTTGATGCTTTGAGAATTGCACCTTATCTTTGTACATAAACAACTGATTCGTTGGGGATTGTTTTACTGGGACATCCCCTGAATGAGTTTCTTCATGACTGAGATTCTCTTCTTGCCTTTGACCCTTCACAGTTATATTTTTTTGGCATAAATGTGGTGACTTAAGCCCATCTTACAACGGAGGGTGAAGACTTGCTTGTGTTTTGTGAAGTTGCTTTTCAGGCTGAAGGCCTCGTTAAAAAATAAGTTTATTGTGGAGCTGCTTCTAAAGACCTGCACTGAATGCCCTCATTTATTACCACAGCTCTTGTACACAAGTATGTGAAGCTCATAACTAAAGACAGACGAGTCTTTTGAAGTGTGCTTTAATGTGGATTTTACTGTGCACACGTAGCAGTGTAAATGACCTTCACGTGCTGGAGTGACAATGCTGATTATCCACATATTGAACAGTCACTAAATTATTCCTGACAAACACAGATGACTCTACAGTCACTGGACTTCACAACTGGCTTTTTGAGAGGTACCCAAGTCCAGCGTTGCAGAGTTGCAGCTTGTTATGCTTTGCCCACGTTTTTAGAATGAGCCTGTTAAGTTCTTAATAGTTAAGGGATTTATTTTCCCTTTGAGGTTTCTATTAGCACTTAGGGAAGAGGGGAGGCAATAAACAAAGATCTAGAAGCTATGAGCAACCTACACCTCAGAAATTGCTTCAGCTCCTAAACTCGAGCGTCAGCTTTTGTGTCCTGTTTTTTTCCCCTCTTTTGGAAGCAAGGCCGTGTGTACAAATAAATACCTGTAATTACTCGTGATTATCTACACGGTGGTTTTGTCATCACACAAGCCTGGCATAACAGCCCCATTTTCTGCTGATAATGGCTGGGTGAACCTGAGTGGTGTTTGGCAACCCGGCTGACTCGTAGGGCTTGGGTCTGCCTGGGGTGACTTCATGTGGTGGTGTGCCCCAAGCTGGCTGTGGTGACTGGCTGTAAACCCCCCCCAGCCCACGTCAAACCCAAAGTGGAAACCTGCTGGCTTCATCATTTTGGGGTGGCAGTTAAGCCATTATGGGTTGCCTTGTCGAGGGTGTCGTGGTGGAGCATTTACTTTCTGAAGAAGGATGGCTAAAAATGAGGTTGGGCTGACAGGAGGCTCTTTAATTGATCTCCTTTCCAAGTAACTATGGAAACAACAGGAAATACCTGTGGGTAGAAGTCCAGTGACTGTGTTTGTTGTTGTTTCTTTTAAATAACAAAAGTCAGAGAAGGTTGATGGCAAAGCAAGTGGCAACTGGGATTTTAGAATTCGATTTGTTCATCAAGCAGTGTTAAGGTAAAGGCAGGGGAGGGAAATTACCTCCAAAACAGTGAAGGCTAACCACAATTTATCTGCTTATCTAAATAACTTAAGTAATGAAATTGCTTTAAACAGCCTAATTTACTTAAATCTTTTTTAAAGTAGACAAGTATTATCTGCAAGTTGCAGAGGTGCCTCTTTCCTTGGCGGTTGTTTGAGGGAGCACAGTGTGAGCACAGCAGAGTTTCTGTGGGACTGGCCAATGCTGTTGTGTGTTTTGAACCTCTCCTCGAAGGCCAGTTGGGTAAGAGGGCAGTAAAACAGGAATTCTGTACACGGCATTCCTGGGATTTTTATGAAACACCCTAAATGTTTCTGTAACACTTGGGTAATTGGGGAAGGGCTGTTACTCCAAATCTGTTTGGCCTCTTGTGTAACCTCACAACAGTAAAGTCTCCCAGTGTGGTATCAGATGGGGAAAGATGGATGGGTCCTCTGTTTTTAGGTCAGATATTTGTCTCCTACTTCAGTCTTTAGAGAAGAAACTTCACTGAGATTTCTCCTGTGCTGCCTTCAGAGCTGTTGGGTGTCAGACTGTCCCTTCTGGGAAAGCTTAATTTAAAAATCTGCTCCCTGTAGGTAACTGAGCAGAAGAAAATTCCTGAGGAGCATGCTATGGGAAGCAGGCACTCTCCAGGAACACAGAAAGGGCAGGGGCAGGTCACTGTCTTTATACACCTTCGAATTATTCATGTGAAGCTGCGTGTGTGAGCAAAAGCTGTGGTCTGTTCTGATCCCTCAGAGATTGTGGTGCTAAGCACAGACAGCCATGAGATCTTTGAGTGGGCAAACTCCCTACCTGTCCTTGCAGTGCACCTTTCAGCAAGGTTGAAGACTTACAGGAGATGCTATAATATTTTTTTTTTTTTTTGTCAGTGCAGCACAGGATTAGTTTCTCCTCAGCTGCTGCAGGCTGGCATAACTCCCATTAAATCTGTGGAACGGTGCCGATCTGCTTATCTGATGACCTGATCTGCTCCCTCAGTGGAGTGCAGAGCAGCACAAAATCTTTAAAACACCCATCCTAAGATAAAAGCTGTTAGTGAAACTTCTGGTTTTGTGGCTAGTAGTCTTTCTAACTCTCAGAACAGCATGTGACCTTTTTAACTGTTTAATTCTAGTTTTCCTTTAATGCATAGTATAGAAATTTAAGTAGTTCTTTGCATGATCTCCTGTTAAATTCTGTTGCTGCCAACAGAAACCGCGTCCCCCTCTGACAAAGTTAACGTTTGATAGCTTCGGTGGCTTAGATACACCAAATTTAATCCTGCCTTAGCTTCTCCCGAGTTCTGAGAAGCCTGATGGTTTGTTTCCTCCCAGGGACAGACAGCAGGGACATGTGCAATACCTGAAACGCTCAGAGACGTCTTGAAGCACCTCTTTAGCTCAGCTTCTCCATCCGTGGTGTTGAGTGTGAGGCCTGCAGATACAAAGGAGGTTCAGGTAAGCCTCACTCCTACCAAAATCCCTTGAGAAGCCTCCCTCTGCTCAGTGTTTTTATTACATATTCACGACTCACAAATGAGTGGGTTTAACACCCTTTGGGTGATCAGAAACAACCGGCGGGGATTCTTTGAAACAAGGGCATTACACCTCGCCTCTAAATCAGTGTGACACAGGTCTGTGGTGTCCTGACGTGCACAGCCCCTCTTGTTCTGCTTACCCTTTTGCAGAATGTACAGAACACAAGCCTTCTCCCTCAGGGCGCCAGTCCTCCCAAACCTCCAAGGGCTCACGAGCTCAAGCTGCTGGTGAAGAACATCGCGGTAAACCCGGCCCATCACCGTGCTGCAGGTAACGCGGCCCACCGGGTGCTGCTCGTGTTCAGGCGGGGTTGGGTTGTGATTGTGGGTTTGTTTTTTGGTTTTTTTTGTTTTTTTTTTTTTTTTTATCCTTTTGGGCGAAATAATTTGGAAGTTCTGGGTTACAACCTTCTCTCAAAAGAAATTGCTTTGCTCCGAGAAACAGACTTCATGGAATCGCGGAACGGTTTGGGTTGGAAGGGACCTTAAAGATCATCCAGTTCCAACCCCCCCTGCCATGGGCAGGGACACCTCCCCCTGGGCCAAACCCCACCCAACCTGACCTGGAGCGAGGCATCCACAGCTTCCCTGGGCAGCCTGTGCCAGTTCTGGCTTAGTTGCTGGTGCAGGTTTTGGTTTGTGCTGTTGGCAGTGACATTGGTTTGATTCAGCGTTATCTTATTTTTACAGCTGCTTTTCTTTACTTCTGAGCAATTTGCTGGTTTATCTGAAACTCTCCTCCTCTGTGTAAACTCTTCAAAGGTGATCTTTTGTTGTCAGGATTTCTCTCCCTAAGGAAGTACCTCTGGGGGTAGGAGTGGCAGTTCCTCTTGCAAGTGGAGACTGAAGCCAGAAGGGAGGTCACTGCCTAGTTGAAGTCTCTGTGTTGGTTTTGGAAGGAAGCACCGAGAAGTATTCAGACTTCTCCAAGTGCAGTCAGGCCTCCGTTGCTGATTGAGGCAGAGCAGGAACATTTCAGGTTTTGTCATCAGAAACACAAAATTGAGGCTCTGTTATTCGCAGTCACTGAACAGTTCTGTAACAGTCTTTTTAATGGAAGCTTGTGGCTGCTAAATTAGGCAGGGCACAAGTTTTGGATAAATATATCCTACTTGCTGTACTCCTTTTTTTCAGTGAGATGTAATAGGTTTCTGCCCTAGACTCTTGCATAATGCTGCTTTGCTCATCCTGGTTGGAAGTGATTCCCCTAAAATTTTCTGCAGGCTGTTTTTTTTCTTTAAAAAAACAAATTATTTTTAAAGCAGTTCTGGAACTCTGTGCTGTGAAATGTCCTCTATAAATAATACTGTGCTGGAAACTGCAACCTGGTCTAGTGGCAAGTGTCCCTGCCAGTGGCAGGGGGGTTGGAACAAGATGATCTTTAAGATCCCTTCCAACCCAAACCGTTCTACGATTCGATGATTTGTTATTACTGTGCAATTTTGTAGTGCAAATTAAGCTTTCCAAAAGAGCAGATCATTTTGACTGCATTTAAAAGTCATGAGATGAGATACCTTTATGTGCCTGCAGTTCATAGAACAGAAGACTGACCTTATGAGAAACCTCTCTGCACCTTCCCTGAAAATGAGAGGAAGAGTGGACAATTACTGTGCTCTATTCTGGGAACACAGATGTTGGGAGGCAAAATCCCCATTTACTATTGTCAGAGGAGATGGAGGGAATTTTGCTGGTTCCCTAGCAACTCTGGGAGTGCAAACATTTGGAACTGAGTATGAGAAACAAAACTTCACAGCGTGGTTTAACTGGCACACTTGAAATCCAGTGGAAATACTGCACAGCTGGAAAGGTGCTGTCTGCTGGATGTAGCTTGCTGCCTTTTAATTATTGTACCCTTCCCTTTTCCTGGCCTTATCTTGCCATAATTAATTATCCTGTTGGAACTCTGAGACCCCATAAGAGTGTGCAGTATTTCAGGCCAGCCTGCACAGAGGGTTGGAGAGCGGCAGTTTGTCTGTCTTGACCATTTATCATCCATGATAATTATCATAAACCATGGATGATTTATCATAAACCATAGATGCTAACATGGTTTACAGGAGCTTGTGGCTCTCCTGTTGATGTGTTAGTTCAACTGGTGAATAACCAGTAGCAGAGCTGCTCTCTGCTTATGGGCTGTGCCCATTTTTATCTCCTTGGTTTGTGTATCATAAACAAAGATTACCCTAGATTTTGGACTGCATGGTCCACAGGGGATCATCCGGGGCAAAAGTGATTTCTGCTGTTAAGGAAGAAGTTGCTGGTTGTTCCCAGCAGGGTGTGCAGGGCAGAAATGCTGCAGTCCCCTGTTGGGTACGGTGGGTCAGGGGCTGTGGTTGTGGTTTCAGGCAGGTGTTTCTGCCCTGGGCTGCTGAGCACAGGACAGGCTGCAGGGACATATGGCTGGGTGAGCAGAAACCACCCCAGGTTCATTAACTCAGGCTCAGCTCACTGGGAAAGCAGCTCAACTACTTACTCCAGGGTCAGCCTGGATTCCCAAATAAGCTGTGTGTACACGGTGCTTTGTCTCCTCTAATAACCTTGCCAGGCCCAAGCTGCCTCTGTGCCTGAGATAGGGATGATCCACAGCCCTGAGTCATCAGCAGAGGATAACTGAGAGCTGATGATAGTAAATATAAACCAGTAAATATTCCGGAGAACTTGGAGGCAGCATCTTTTGTTTGCTTTGCACGCAGTCAGTACTGAGCTTTTTTTTTTTTTTGGTCACTTTCCTTGATGTTTTGGAACTCTGGGTCTGAAATTTTTTTCCCAGGGCTGTGAAAGCCTTACAAAAGAAATTGTTTTAAGAGGAACACATTTTGCAAACTGTTTTCCCCTTGGAGCAGCAATGTAACTACTCTAATATACCAATTTGCCACACTATCAAATTTCAAGATCAAGGCAGAGATAAGTCTGCAGCAATACTTCAAAATGCCACGAACTTGTTAAAAACCACAGTCCACAGAGCCATTGTGAATTAGCACTGCTGTCATCAGTTACTTGCCAGCAGAAAAAGCTTGTTTCCTTGTCCAAATAAACGGCTGTGACTGTGGTCAGTAGGGACTTTGAAAACTTCTGGGTTTCTTAAAGCAGCAGGAAGCAACTTTGCTCCCTCCCTGCCTCGCACCCACACCGCCACCTCCTCACTGTGCTGTCTCCCCATCCTTTTTGATCTCTTTGTGCCTTCCCTTTCTTGCTTCTTGCCAGAATTTAAATTGGGTTGTCGTGTTTCACGCTGTGTGGAGCAGCGCACAAGACACTGGTGATGCAATGCTGACCTTTGCCATCAATGTTGTCACTGTTTATTTACAAACCAAGGGAGGGAATTTATTCTGTGGGAGGGTGAGAAGGTGTTTGCAACAGTCTGCTCTGAAGTGCAGGATGCAGTGAAAGGGGTTCTTTGCTTACTTTTGGGCAAGTGGCCTCCTGCTGATGGAGTATTAATGACTGGGTATTGGTTTTTCTTGCCCTCACAGGCAGCACAGACCTTGTGTGTATAGCTCAGCTGAATGACCCTATGCAGAAGTTTTCCAGCTCTGTAGCCAAAAATGCTGCACGTCCCTTTTGGAAGGAAGAGTTTATCTTGTAAGTAACTTACCTACTGAGAATACTTTTGCACTAGAGCATCTTTTTTTACTTGAACTGTATGAGGGAAGAGTGGCATTTTGAAATGGGTCCAGTTGGGTGGCCTCAGAGAAATCTGGAGCTGGTGGGGACTTCAGGATATCTTATTACTCTCTGCATGGACACGAGATCAAGTAGGTCTCTAGATCATCCGTGGTAGATATCAGATTCTAGTAAATGACAGCAGTAACAGGCATAATAAATCACACTGTGCTTTCATACAGTGCCAAAACAAAGTGTCAGCAAGGTTTTGAAGTCACTTTACCGTGAAAACTGCATTTGAGGGAATGTAATGTCTCTCCATTCCCTCCCCTGAGTGGACAGAGTAAACGTGCAGAAACAACTGACCATCTCAAAGAACGGTGGCTGTGACTAAAAAAGGAGCGTAAAACCTACAAGGGTTTTTTTTATTCCTGTAGAGCAGAAATGGGACTTTTGGGCAGCCTACACGGTGTTCTGTGATTCACACAGCTGCTGTAAACAAGACCAAAAGGGAGCAGTTCTAAAGCTATTTTCACTTTCAAACAGCAGAGCAAAAATACCTGGTAGCTTCTGTATGTGTGAGTTTAGGAAGGGGGAATCACTGATGGCGGGGCAGGTCAGAGGATGTTCCTTTAGCAGCTTTAAGCACATGCACAGTCAGGCAGAAGCAGCTTTCAACGGGAATTGTGTACAGGTGCTGCCACGCAACATACTGCAGACACTGCTTTCTTATTTTTTCTACCAGATTATTAAGGTGAGAGGCACTTCACGTGCAGTAGAGTCTCTCTGGTTCTTTCTGTATCTTCCCTCTTCCATCTCAGTTCCATTCCTCTTTACACATATATAAAAAATACATATTTTTTTTTACATGAGAGTAACGCTGCGTGGTTCTGTGTGACGTTTTCCTTCACTGTCCAGTCACAGCCTGGCATCCACTGGATCTGTTCCTTCTCCTGCAAAGCAGAGATGTAGTTACAAGGAACTGAACCCGTGCCTGTCTGTGCTCTCTTCCTGGAGGAGTGATGTGCTTCCCCTCACCTTTGATCAGTCATCACAAGTTGCACAGGGCTTGGAGAACATGTGCAGGGGGTGATCAGAAGTCTAACTACAGTTAGCAAAGAAACACTGATATTGTAGAACAACACTGGAAGGCCTCCACCTTTTCGTGTGGCCTGATGGGAGGTGTGTGCACCTGGTTCCTGCTGTTCAGTGGAAAACCAGCCAGGAAGCTTTATCCCTTCAAGCACCAATTTGTAAGGCCTGATTTTATAGTTATGAGGAGCTTTTGAGGAAAGCCACAGGTCAGGCAACCTTCTTCTGTGACACTGTGCTGTGTTGCCACCGAGACCTAAGGATTTAACATGATGTGAATCACTTCAGCCATCTGTTGGTGGAACAACACCCGTGCTCGATGCTGCAGGGCAGGCAGGTTCCCAGCAGTTTTGGACAGGAAGTTTATAAGAATAATACCCTTTCCAACTGAAAGTGCAGGCAGAGGGCAGGCAGGATGTGATTAACTTGACTGGAATTTGGCCTTGACACTAGGGATAATGCTGGGGTTTCCACACTGCTTTTCAGAAGTGGATGAGGTAAGCCTGGGGGGACTTTTACAGATGAGTGATTAGGATTTTGGCAGGATTTTTTCTGAACTTCATTCAAGTTCATGGGCACACACCTCTGCCCTCTTCTTTCTTCACAGCCCAAAATATCCACCACTCTGAGGACCAGTGTACTGAACACCATGCCAGGCTCTGCTTTAGCTTTGTGGCAGAAGCACCAATAGTACCACCAAAGTGCTTCCTTTCAAGTTTTGGAGGTGCAGGAGAGGGTGGTATTGGCAGGGAAAAGCTTAAAATCTGCTGCATAGATGGTGTCCCACAGCATCTAATGGAGGTGGGATGTTGGCAACCAAAAAAGACAAAGCAAAATAAAATACATATATGCCCTTGGGGTTTTTGGCAGAACACCCACTGTGAAGGTTATAAAACAAAGTTTTATTGGAGGGTTCCTCAGTAGGTACCCAGTTTGCTTCATTGTCTCAGTTAGAGGAAAGGTTTTGTATTTGTTGTCTGGTCCATCTTGTGAAGTATCACATATGCCTGTAATTCTGTGAAGAGTTCACACTGGTTCTGTCACACAGAAATCAATTCTTGCAACTTCCTTGAGCCTTATTTTGGAAAACTGATACTGACTCTTCTCACTTAAAACTGTAGTTACTTCTATTTTCTTGCATCTATCTTGTTTTTGCAGGACACTTTCCTGCTTTGACAAGGGCACCCCACATCTTTGAATGGGTTTTTGAAAGAACCTGTTCCAGCATCTTGACTTACAAATTTGATCCTTCAGGGGTTAAAAAAAAGGCACTTCTTAGTGCTGTGGTGTAATTGTCAGACCAGGGACCAGCATCAGCCTGGAGGGCAGTGTTTGTCAGCTGCTGGGGAGAAGAAGAGCCTCTGAAATTTTAGGAAATTGGACCTGTACCCCAGTGGGGAGGGGAACCATGGTTTTCTGACTGTGATCCCTTTAGGGAGGGTTACCTGTGTGACCAGCAGCCTGGCAGTGCCACCTCCCTCGTCAGCAAGGTGCACTGCTTGGCTTGGAGAGGGCTGAGAAAAGACGGGGAACAGGCAAAAAAAAACTAAGTAGGGAGGAAAATCTGCTTCCCTGCAAAGACCTAACATGGTTTTGTTTACTTCACAGTGAACTAAGTGCCAAATCAAAAGCATTGGAGCTGCAAATAGTAGAAGATGGAAAGACGGATAGTAAGTATTAAGACTGAATTGCTTGGCATGATCAGCTTGTGAGCTTTGCTGGCTGTTGACAAGTCCCCTCTTAGTTCTGGGTGGCCAAACAAGAAACTCTTAAGATCCATCAGTAATCGTGGATGGAAGAGGGAATACACTGATCAGGTGCCTCTGTCCTGCTCTGGGTTAAGGTTACAGAGAATCTTTGAGTTTCTTTCTGGATTTTCAACATACTGAGTCTTCCCTGTACTGTTATCCCGTATTTTTCAGCCTTCTAAACTTCTAACAGATCCACTGTGAGCCTTTTTGGTTTCAAGTTAAGCTTTTGAGGCCTTTCTGTGGCTGAAGGAGAATCTTGAGTGTTAATCCTAAATCCTTCCTTTTCAAGCCCCAGAGGCTGCCTAACATTATCAGGTATAAATCACACTCGTTCTGATTATATTGGATTAAATGTAAAACGGGGCTGAAGCCTTTTTGCTACTTGATTCTGCTGTTGCAGAATTATTTTTAATAATCTATTTTAATAATCTAGATATACAGACAATATATCTTGCATAAGATCTGCAGTTATTGGAGGGATTGGCAAGTTAAATGTAGGCACAAGCTTGAAAAAAATTTCTCTGATATGGGTGCAATTTTTTTACTTTTAACAAAAATGTGGAATCTAGAGAGAGTCAACAATTGTATATTGTTTCTTGCACAAAGTTTAGTCTTGCCTGTACCTAAGCATCTTTAACAGTGGGTCTTGCAAGCACCACCAGTAATGTTCCACATCCTACTGAGGGTGTGACTATCAGCCTGTTTTCCTGAAGAAAAAGGTCCCAGTGGATTGCAATGACATCTGTCTTCCTGCCCTTCTCCCCCCTCCATACCAGCCTAGCTGTTGTTCTTCCCAAAATTTGAATAGGAGACTCAAAGTAGAATCACATTAATGGGCAGGGAGCTGAGTAATGGGAATATAATGTAGTTCTCTACTTGTCTTTGAATTTCACAGAAAAACTAGGATTTCATCTCTGAAATCACGCAGCACTTTTGCTAATAGTTTGCTCCAATCTAGTGGAGCTGAAAAAAGTCAGGAGAGGAACGAGAGAATTGCTGATCTGGCACTGAAGTTCAAATTGAGAAAGACAATGATGCACCAGTTTACCAGGAATCCAGGGTGTTCTCTGAAATGAAAGACGCAGGTAGCTGGTTATAGGGATGGCTCAAGGACCTAATAGGAATATTTCTAGTTGTTTTCTTATTCCCTGAACATTCTGCATATACAGGGAAGAATAATGGCCAGAAATAGCAGTAAATATTAGTAAATAGTAGTATTTCATGTCTCCATTCTTTCCTGTTGCACAGTGCTAGGCCAGGCTGAGGAATAGTCATAAAAAGGGAAGAAAACTGTGAAAAGTGCCAGGTTTCTGCCCCGTGGTATAGAACCAGTTTCTGCAATCAACTGCCTGTGCTCTTCCTCCCCTTTTCCCATCTTCTCCCCCTTAGGTACACTGACAGCTTAGGTGTGCGCTGATTTTGTTGATTTTATTTGTTCCAGGTCCTTTATCCGGGAAGGTGACTGTACCTCTGGACTTGTTCAGGAAACAACCCTCTGGCCAGCAAAGCTTTACCCTGAACAGTGAAGCCAGTGAGGGCAGTTCAGAGCCGGGGCCTGGGCTGGGATCCATCAGTGCAGAGGTACTGCTGGGTTTGGATGGGTTTGGGGTGGATCTTTAGCCTCTGGAAGTACATAGAAGTGCTTATCTTGTGCTTGTGGCTGAGTCAGAGTTAGCACACACTGATTGTACAGTGTTTGTGTCTTACCAGAAGAATGAGCTCTTGAGCTTGGCTCTTGAGCACCAGCAAAAAAATTAAAAGAAGCACTAGGCAGAAATATTGTCCTTCTTGCTTGGCTGTGCTTCTAAGGTGACACTTTTTTTTTGGTCTCCTTAGTTCTCATTTATAGAACCCAGTGAACTGAAGACAAGGCAAGTCTCTTCCCCAGTGCTGGCCACCAAGATAGAAAAGGATCGCACTGTGATGCCCTGTGGGACTGTGGTCACTACTGTCACTGCTGTGAGAACCAAACCTCGCCTGGAAGGGAGGGCATCTCCCCTCAGCACAGGTGAGGGCGCCCAGTTCTTCCTGTGCTCACCCACAGGGTTATCCACAGGCACCAGGAGAAGTGTTGTGGGGTGGGGTGTAAGGAGAGAGTTCTCTGATGTGTTGGAGTGGGGTTGCTGTTTGTGTCCTCTAGAGTCAGGTTTTTAATTTTCACAGAGCCTTGTTCTTCCAAGAGGGACAGTTAATGCTTCTTTTAATGCACACTGTAAAGCTTCACAGTAGTGTGATAATGCAGAAGACCTGGATTTTGGAGGATGGTTTCTCACATGGCAAACGTATCAGACTCTCAGGGTGTTTGCTGAGGACAGACCATCCTGTGCCTTCTAACCTTGACTGCATTATCATCTCTAATGCATCCTTTTCAGCATGTTTTTTAGGAGCAGGTTTTCCAATTCTTCTTGAGATAGATATGAAAGTAAAACCTGTCAACAGTCTTGATATGAAGTCTCACAAAGATGAGCATTATGTTGTTAAAGCAGATCTTTTACCTAAGTGGGTGTTGTCTAGCATATTACAGTAGAAGCTTTAAAAACAATAAATTCCTGCACTTCACAGGTGTTTTGGGGGTCAGGTTACCGTAGAACATGTGCTGAGAATTTGTATTAAACAGCTCTCTCAAACGCTTTATGTTTTGAACAGGCTCAACAGGTATAATAAATTCTTATTAATGTCGTAAAAAATGTCTCGAATGGTTCAAATAACCAAAAAACTTGGTCCTCAGATTCTCCTGTGAAAACTCCAGTTAAAGTAAAGGTGACTGAAAAGGATTTCTCTGTTGAAGCTCTCCATTCTCATGGTGCTCCAGTCAGCAAAACTTTGTCATCTTCAGACACAGGTAATTGAAATATTCAAAGCTGCTAATGAGGACATGTCTCTCTCTGCTGCACATGGGGATTAATGTGATCCTGTTAAAATAACAGCCAACCCATATGGCTGCTGCCTGTCAACAGCACTGAGATGTTTATGTTACAAAGCACTGTGGTTAAGGGATAGGGCAGTCTTGCAGTAAAAGTCTGGTTTTAATTGGCAATTTAAATTACTGGGTTTGAACAAATAACAATGAGCTGTGGTTTGGAGAGGGGAGGTGACTGCAGAAAAGCCAGGCTGTGTTTTCTCTTACTTTTTAGTGAAAAATTCCTCCTTTCATAAAGGCATGGGGGATGCTCCACAAAAGCAAAGCCCTGTGACAAGAACCTCTAAGGCCATTGTGGACTCCCCTCTGAAGAGAAGACAGAGGTTGGACTGGCATAAGGAAGACTGAATTCTCTTCCTAGCCCTGCTCCTGGGCTTTTTTGGGGGGCTAATGCAAATACCCAACCTTGCTGTGTCTGCTTGTCCACCTTCCTAAGTCACCTGGCATGCAGGTGCCTGCACAGTGGCATTGATAATAACTTCAACCATTTGGGAAATGTTGAGGTAGTGCAAGACTTCTGAGTTGACTCCCTTAAGTGTTTATGATATTAAAGATACAAAACACTTACTGGAAAACTCATCTGAGGGCAGCTTAGACCCTATTGGCACAGACAGTGTTTTTAATGGGAGTGCAGGGGAATTTCTGTGAAATGTTTATACAGTACAGCAGGAAGAATTACTCATTAGAAAGGAAAGGTTAAGCCAAATGAAAGAAATACAAAGAAGCTCTTGGTATGGCGGTAATTTGGGTAACAGTAATTATAAACATCATGGCAAAACTGCAACGAGCACTCTGAAAAAGGTGCTGTGTCTGTGCCATAGTTCTAAGTGATGACAGCAGTGAGAATTAACAAGTGCCTGGATGGTCTCAGCTCATCCTGGGGGCTTTGCAGAGGCTGGGGAGATGGAAAAGTAAAAGTTTGTGATGAGTGTGCAGACATGCACATCCCTTGGGCACACATATACTCTTAAATTCCAGGCCTCGTCTTTTTATTGCATTAATGTCACAGTAACAAAAGACACTGCTCAATTTAATTAACACTGGTGCTATTTGTTTTGGTTTTGTTTTCTGTTGAAACTCTTAGCAGAAAAGCTCACCTTTAAATGTGGGGATTTTTGTCTTGCTGACTTCTTTAGCCTGATTTGTTCCTAAGCTTGATGAATTTTGATCAGTGTGCATTTGCTGTGCCCAAAGTACTCTGTGTTACTAGATGCCAGTGTTGGCCATGCTTAAAAATAAACGTGTTTGTCACTAAAGAGCTTTTTATAAAGAAGGTTTTATATTCCTGTGCAATGTTTGGAGGGGAAAAAGGGGGAGGAGGGAATGCACTTTATAGGCTTTGGAGGCAGCTGATGAAGAGCAGAGAGACTGACTCCAATTTGGAAATGCTGAGCAAGGATGTCTGGAAAAAGAGCAAGATAGCAACCTGAGGAAGCAGCATCATGTGCCAGCTTTGCACCTTGTCAGAGCTGTGGTTCTTCGTGACTGTGATACCTGATACTCTCCCCACTGTCATCTCAGTGTAGCAGTGCATTGGAATAATTTGATGTGTTGTCTAGGCTTCCAGAAAAACTCCTTTGTGCTCAGGGAAGGGGTTTGTAAGTGCAGCTTCAGTACCTTTTTTCCAAAGAAAGGGTTGCAGGAGGGAAAGACAAGACCCAGTGACCGTGTGGTGAACGGGAGGATGTTTTGGTGTGCCTGGTGTTTATACCCATTTCTGCCAATTTCTATGAATTTTAAGTCAAGAACAAACTCTGCCTCTCTTTGCCCTGTTTTTTTTTTTTTCCTGTTTTTCCTTTCTTCCCTCTGAAATAATCCTTTCTTTCCAGAGCTGCTGGTACTGAATGGCACCGATCCTGTGGCAGAAGCAGCCATTCGGCAGCTGAGCGAGTCTGCAAAGCAGAAGCTGAAGTCTCCTAGAAAGAAAAGCACCATTATCATATCAGGGGTGTCCAAGGTAGAGCAGAAAACAACGCTTACATTTTTATGTTAGAAAAAGCCTTTGCTCCACCGTCTGTGGCATTAACATGGGCTCTGCTGTCTCTGCAGAATCCAGGTCTGCGTGCCAGGTTGTTCCTGTAACTGTTTCAAGTTGAGCCAAATCGGGGTTTTTGATTGTTAGTTTTGACAGCCTCACTAAAATGCAAGGTGTACGTGGATGGGAGTGGGATGATTAGGGATTTGGGAAAACAAATATGGGTGAGAACAGAAGATAATCAGTCCTTCTCTGTGTTTCACCCACGTAGGGAAGATGCACAGAAAAAGAAAAATGAGAGATTTCTCTATTTTTTTTTTTTTGTTCAAAGCTGTTAAAACAAAACCCTCTGGAAAACCTCCTGGGCTCTGTTCCAGAGAGAGGGCAAACAGAAGACTGGTTTTCACATGGCATATAGCATTCCTCCAGACTTTCTTCATCCACAGCCTCACTGTCCTATCTGATGCCTGCTGCCTGCCTGTAGTCCTTTCCCTGCAGGTTGCTCCATGGATTTGTGCTGTCAAGTGTTGCTGTTGGGCACAGGACCCCTAAAGGGCTCTGAGTGAAAGCCAAATCACTGGGCATGGATCCCCTCATCATCACTGTGCTGTGATGAGGGGGAAAATGGGGATCAGCAGCCACAGTGCCAGATGTATCTGCATGGTAAATGATGGCACTGGGACTGCCTGGATTTGGGTTTAGCTGATACAGCTGACAAATCCTTCTGTAAGGTGAAATGCTTTGATGTTTCTTTTCTTAAAAGGACCAAAATGTGTATGCTGATACTTCATTAGAGCAGCACATGCAGGAAGGAGTCTTACTGTTTGTAGTGGGTCCAGGGATAGGTGGGAGGCACGTACTTCATATATTTTTTTCATTTATTTGGCCTTAATAACATGAATAAAACTTGGTTACGTGCTTCTTTCCTTTAGTAAAACTAAGGAAGCTTTAAGGGTCTTTCTGATAGTCCTGAACAATGCAAGTGCAAAGAGGAGAAAATAGCTTTTGCAGGGAGGCTTGTTTTCCTCCAGCAGGATGGCTTGAGTCAGTGTTGTCTCTTATTCCCACTGGGCAGACCTCTTTATCTCAGGACAGTGAAGCTTCACTCATGATGGACTATGCTGCAGCCATGGACAGCTCCTGTCCCAAAGAAGCAGATCCACCCCCTGTGGAGGAAGCTGTTGCAAAACCCACCCCTGTTGAAAAGCTGCCATTGGATCCCTCAGAAACAACAGTACCTGACACTGGCCCAGGGCAGAGCACCCACAAGGCCTGGGGCTTGGAGAACGGCAGCCAGCAGTGGGACACCAGCACCCTCTTAGACCAGACCTCTGAATCGATATCTGGGAGCTCGCTGAGCGTTTCAGAAAGCGGGAGCATGAAAAAATCCAAAGGTACGTGATCCTTACCTTCCACCTCGGTGACTGGCTGCTTTCTCTGCATAATTGGCAGAGTCAGGCAATGCTGTAGTAGCTCATCCTTTCTTGCTGTTTTGGTTTTTTTTGGTTTTTTTTTTTTTTTTCCTTAAACTCCTTGTGATTGTGGTGTTGGTTGAAGCTGTCTCACCAGCAGCACAGAGGGTGCAGTCCACTGCTCTTGGAGCCAGCTCAGGCTCTCTTACACTGCCCTCAGTCAGAAAACAGAAGGGCAGCCCTGTTACTAACATGAAAATGGCAGGGCTCTCAGTTGCTTTTTATACGTTCCTTCTCCTCTTTCACGCCCCTGTGCTCAGGGCTCCCCTGCCCTCGCTAGACTGTGTGTTCAGGAAGCAGCTGAAGCAGAAACTGCCCTGTGAACAGTTTCCTCCTTTCTCACTGATTCTATGAATACGAAGTTTGCTAAAGAAAATGGAATAAAAGGTAAATTTAGTAAGTAAATAAAGCATCAGATCATTTTGCTTAGGTAGTTACACACCTGAATAGCTGCAGTTCGAAAGTGTCTTAGGATTCTTGTGTTTCCTTGATAAATCCATCAACCTCTGAGCACTGGTTTGTGGCCATGTGGTATCAGGACTATTAGGATGTCTGACACAAGGGCCAGTGCAGAGGACACACCAGTCTCATGGGCTGCACCTTGAAACTGAAAAAAAATCCTGTGTTTTTCACCCACATCCACCCCCTTTTATTGTTATTTTCTATTCTTTCCTTGCCCAGAGATCCTTACTACAAAACCTCGCTATTTCACTTGATTATCACAAACCCATCCCCCCCACTCCACGCAGGGCAGACACTGGAGCCCTTTGTCAGGGCCCTCCCTTGGAGCCTCGAGTTTCTCTGGCCTTCCCACAGCTGTATTGCTCCACATGAGAGATCAGGGTGGCACAGCAACAATCCCTGTCAATAGATAGTCAGGCACTGGGAAGTTTTGGGTGTGTTTGGGGTGGGAGTAAGGGGCTAGTTGTGAAGGGACTTGTCTCATTTTGGAGCCTGGAAGAGTTTAAGAAGCTGTGGGAGAGATTGCAAAACCTCTGGACTCTTCTTTAACATGTTATTCTGAAACAAGCAACTGCAAGTTTGCATGTGAGCTGTTGTCTAGTTCTGTTTTTTCCCTGTGGTGCATGTTACGAAGAGATCAGCCTTCTAAGGATCCTTTTCACACAATGCAGTGTAAGGCTGCTAAAAACTGCAAAGTATTTCTAATTTGAGAGAGTTGTATCATCTTAAAATAATACTTTAGGAAAACTGGCTCAAATCCTTTTCTTTATACACAGATGTCTTTGTGGAAGTCTTGAATCTCTGCTTTGTCACAGCTGAGTAGCTTTTATGGAGTGAGATAGGAAAACATTCCCACCCCCCTGCCTTCAGCTAGCTGTGAACAGTTCAAGGTTTCTGTTTGTCAAGTGCTTTCCCTTAAAAAAACCAAAAAACAAAAAACAAAAAACCAAAAAACCCACACAAAACAAAACAAAAACCCCACAAACATATAAAACCCCAAACACAACAACAAATAACCCAAACAAAACTGAAAGCCAACAAAACTCCTGCTTTAAAAAGCCTTATATCTGTATTAATGTCTTAAGGTTAGCACTGGTGGTTTTTTTTACTCTTGCATTTTTTTTATTTTTTTTTTTTACCTTTCTGACTTCCTTTTTCTTACCCATTCCCTTTTATAAACTTAAGAGGACTACTATGCCAGCCAGAATTAATTACCCACACAGTAAGTTGGTTTTGTGTATTTTTTTCCCCCCTAAGAAATTGTAGCTTTACAATGGGACGCTCATTGTAAAAACTGAAGCAAAACATAGTTTGGCACCTGTTTTCTTCTTCCCCCGTCCACTTCTTTCCTCCTTCCAAAATTACCTTCCCGTGCTCAAGTGTCTCAGCAGATTAGTCTGCTGCAGCAAATTATTCTCCTGGTGGTCGTGCTGTTCAGGTGGGTCACACAGAAATCTTGGAGGGGTGCTCTGCATTCCTAATCTCTCTCCATCTTGCCCATTCCTGTAACATCTGATAATCAGTCAAAGTCTCTGCTCATGCAAACCTCGTGTGACCCCATGACTGGATATACACAGGCAAAATACTTATTTTAAAACCTGCTGCTTACAGTTTTCCAGGTAAAGCTTTTCTACCCTAACTTGCAGAGCTACCAGGGCCTCAGCAGGTATCTGCAGAACCACCTGTATAAAAGCTGTTTTGGAAGTTGGGAAGGAATGGAAAGCGATCTCTGTTCATATCCTTGTAGATGTGGAAGGAAATCTTCCTTGATTAACAGAAATGGCACTCAGGAGTGATCATAGCCCCACAGGCATTTTCAGGACACCCTAAACTAGTGCAGAGGAGTCCAGCCAGCTGGTACAGTATGCTCTCTGCTCATCTCCTGGTGTAAGGGGCAGGGCTGGCATATGGATCCTGTTGGACTCGAGAAGTGAGCATGCAAACAGCACGAGCGTTGCCAAGCTGGGGATGTGCCCTGCCCTGCCCTGCCCTGCCCTGCCTCCCTGGCAGGGCTGCATGTCTCCACAGCAGCTGGAGCCGCTGCCAGGCAGCACACACCAAACTGGTGCGGACTGATGGGGATTTGTGGCAAGCTTCCAGACAGCCATGACCTCAGCACCTCCAAAAAAACACAGGGAGCTTTCACGCTGGGGGGGGCTGCTGCTTGTGCTGAGCCTCGGGGAAGCGCTGCCCACGATTTTTCAGCTGCAGTGAGTCGTCCCAGGCCACCCATTTTCGCAGCATTCTCGGTTCGGTTCTGAGACCCGGTACGGAAAATCAGTCTGAATCGTAGAATGGATAGGACTAAATATCTGCTTATGGATAAGCCTTTCTGTCCTGCCCCTGCTGGCACAGCTTCAGCTGCAGCTGCCAGGGCTGCTGGGCAGAACAGCTGCCTGCTCAAACAAGAGCGGCACAGCAGCGAGGCCTCGTGCATCCCCCCCCAGCCTTGGCATATTAAACACGACTGTCAGTGTCCTGGGGTTGAACACTGTTTCTTTTATGCTGCTGACAGCAGCTTGAAGTGGTACTGCCTCGCCAAAAAGATCGGTCAGAGGGTGATGGGAGGGCAGTCAAGACTCAAATGCACGAGTTCCAGTTGCTTTCGGCTGATTTCTGCTTCATCCCTGCGAGAAGCGTCTCGGCAGCCGGCAGGCAAAAAACACGCTGGAATATCCTCCCAGATGCTGAGCTCTTAAAGTAATAAACCCAAGCACATGTTTGCAAGTGCTCTGGTCTGAACAAAGCAACGTTTGGCTGCGTGCAGCGGAGCTGCCGTGAAATACCTGTTCTGCAGCTGTCGCCGTGCAAAGTGACACGGGGCCCATGCCTGGTCCTTGGGGGACAGACACGCAATTCTATCTGTGGCACAGCACTGCATGAAAGAAGTGGTCTGTGTGTTGCTTTTTGTGTCCATCTGCAACGGGAGGAAAAGCAGATTCAGGACCGTGCAGCGACAGGAATTAATAGCTGAGAAAGAATGAGGAAACCTGGTAGTGGTGCCGGGAACAAGGTGTGGAAGCTTTGCCAGGGAGAGATGACTGTCCTCACGTACTGGTCTGACTGCCAGAGGGCTCCTGTGTTGGCTTGCTACCTGGGTCCTCCTTTGTTCAAATTGGCTTCTGCCACCTGGGGCAATGCCAGCACCCAGTTCTGCACCAAACTTTTAATGTCCCCACACCAGGTCGAGTGTTGCTGGTAGCCCGGAGCAGTGTCCCTGCCAGCTGCAGCCTTGCAGGTCAGGCACATGTGCACACATGGAAAAAAAGGAAGGTGGAATTTGGCAGAACGGCTGCAAAAAAAACACAGTCCAGGCTTGCAAAGAGAGGAGTACTGGTAGCTGGTGCTGGCAACACGAGTCCCTGGTGAGGTGACAGCTGCAGTTGCCTTGGCTGCATGCTGGGTTTGACATGGGATCAAGGGAAGGAATACAGCAAAATACAGCAACTTAATTTGCCGCAGAAGGGATTTTGGGCGGATTGCTGAACCTGTTGGAAGCAGATGTAATATTATTTTTAATCTGCTTGAAGTGAGTTGCTATTCCTAACAGGATTTTAAAATAGCAAATGCTTCATGAGTGTTGCTGTGGGTGGTGCTGTCGAATTCGTGTGGAACACCTGCTGCCTGGCTCCTATGAGCCCACTGCACACAGGTTCACTGCCAGGTGCTCTTCTCTTTCACCTCAAATTAAAATGCCACCTTCGTGTGGTGCATCACGGGCTGATCTTTTCCTCCTTTGATCTCTGAAACAACAAAGAGTAGTAACATTACCTCCTCTGTCTCATTCTTTTTATAAAATACTTTCTCCCCTTTATTGGCTGGGAGGATTGGCCCTGCCTCTTGGACACGTGAGAACCCAGTGTACAACCCACACCAGTGGCTGTGCATGTGTGTTATGACCACTAATGCAGCTTTGAGAAGAGCATTTGAAGCTAAGGATGTGTAAGGAGGGAAACTTCCACAAGATGTGTGGATTGACTTTAGAAGCCGAAATCAAAGGTCAGCTTTGTTTAGTGGGGCTGCCATTGAAGCTGAGCTTCAAGGTGGGGAAAGCAGCCTGTTCTTTCTGAGGTGTCCCCTTTTCTCCCTTCCCACAGGTGGGATCCTGAAAAAAAGCGCGAAGCTCTTTTTCCGCCGGCAGCACCACCAGAAGGATCCAGGAATGAGCCAATCCCACAACGACCTCGTGTACCTGCAGCAGCCCCTGTCAGAGGAGACCCGCAAGAAGGGAGGCACCCTCTCACGGATCCTGAGCAGGAAGCTCCTTTCCAGGAACAAAAGCAAGAGCAAACTGAACGGTGCTCCGGGAGAGCCGTACATATAAGAGCGGACCCTCTCTGCTGGGATACTTGCACATCAGTTGAGCATTTTGTTTACAGAGCAGTGCTAGAGAATACAAATAATGGCTGATGGCTTGCATAAAAGGATGTTCACTAATACAGTGGTCTTTTTTCGTTTGTTTTTCCAAAAGACGCTTTTTCTCTCTGATGATGAAGTTGCTCCTCCGAATACGAGCAGTGCTACATTAATCATGAAGGCTTTGGAGAACCATGTGGTTTATTGTGGAAGATGAGGGAGGATGGGGAATGGTGCAGGTGGGGACCAAGAAGGCCGCTGGTATCCTGGAGTGCATCAGGAGGAGCACTGCCAGCAGGCCCAGGAAGGTGATCCTGCCCCTCTGCTCAGCCCTAACGAGGCACATCTGCAGTGCTGTGTCCAGTTCTGGGCTCCTCAGGACAGGAGGCACGTGGAGCTCTTGGGGCAGATCCAGAGGAAGATGCAAAGATGCTGAAGGGATGGAGCATCTCTGGGAGCAGGGAAGGCTGAGGGAGCTGGGACTGTTCAGCCTCCAGAGGACACGCTGAGAGGGGACCTCCCCCAGGTCTGTGGGGTCTGCAGGGAGGGGGCAGAGGATGGACCAGGCTCTGCTCGGGGGGGCCCAGCAATGGCACAAGAGGAACAGGCAGGAACTGATGCCCAGCAAGTTCCACCTGGACACAAGGAAGAGTTTCTTTGCTTTGTAGTGATCCAGCACCGAACAGATCACCCAGAGAGGGTGTGGAGTCTTCCTCACTGGGGATATTCCAGAACCACCTGGACACAATCCTGTGCCATGTGCTCTGGGATGACCCTGCTTGAGCAGGGAGGTGGGACCAGATGACCCACTGTGGTCCCTTCCATCCTGACCCACTCTGTGGGGAGGACCCACGTGTGAGCACCCGGTTTTACGTTAACAGGGAGCTCAGAACTGAAACATCGACCCTGGGTTGCATGACTGAACTACTGCAGAGAGAGAAGACACCACTGTGCTCCCTCACTGCAGCCTGCAATAGTAGCAACGCAGGGCTCAACTGATTTTTCTAGTCAGGCTGAAAGGGAAAAAAAAAAAAAAAAAAAAAAAAGAGACCCAGATCCAGTTTTATTGTAATGTGGAAACGGGTAAGTTTTCAGAAGCAGAAGGAAAATGCTGATTCAGATATCCTACTGTAATAACTGTAGCCTGCTGTAATAACTGCTCGGTCCATGTAGGTGGAGAGATGCCTTTGATATTAGCCATAAATCAATAAATTATGCAAATATCTGTACTAGCATATTGTTCAATGTTCTGTGCAGAATTTATGCTTAACAAAACAACCTTTTTTTTTTTAAAGTCTACTTGAGTCTACTGGCAAACAACACATTTACCAAGTCTTATGTATAGCTTTCCTTCCCTGTGTGAGAAGCTGCATTGCTGATGCAAAAACCTGTCTTAGGCGCTCTAACTCCTTCTCCCAAGTACTTGTTAGACAAGTATATTAACCATCGTATCAAATGCAAAGCTAGGAGCAATAAATGGTAAATAGAGCATAGTTAACCCTACAGTGCTTTTTATTAGACAGCTTGTTTTACTCGCCAAACACCGAGATCTTAGAAAACACAGCTGTGAAGAAAGCTTTTGAAACAATAATAACCATTCCCTTAGCTCACTTTCAGTTTCTAGGTCTGCCAGTGTTGTCATGTGATTGGTGAGTGGTTGGTCAGATGAATTTTTTTAACTTTTTCTCCTTGTTAAATATTGCAGCCGGCTCTTTTAAATTAAAATGATGGAAGTAAAATCATAAAGGTTCTTGTTTTGGCTATCAAGAGTAAAATGTCAGTCTTTCATAGGTGCCATCTTTCGTGTTTACCTGTACTTTTCCATCATCTACATTCCTGCTGAGGACAAAGGACCAAGCCTGTTCTCTTCAGCCAAGAAAAACATCCATTCATTCCACCTAAATTACTGAAATGAATGGATGATAGATTGGTGCCTACTTTGCCAGTAGTGATTTTCCCCCTGGCCCCTTTCCTCCCCTTAAGCTGTCCCAACTCTTTGGCAGATATTTGGGCTTTCGATTTAAACGATTCATCAAAAATAGAAAGTCACAGAAGAACAGAAACACGTTTTAAATCTTCTGATGGACTCAAGATTCTATGGCAACATACTTATACAATGAATATCAAAGTAGAGGGGGTTTGGTTTCTTTTTGACCAGAAAAATATTGGAGGAAATGAGCTGTCAGAATCCTTTAACTGTGTAAAAATACTGTTTACGTGTAACCTCCAGAAATCACTGTGGTAGTACAGCAGACCAGACTATCAAATAGTTGTATGTTTAAGGATGCTGCTTATCATGAAAACACTTGAAGGCATTTTAATGTTCTGTATTTTGAAAATTGGTTACAAATGAATCTTCTAGAGCTGTAATGTGCTTAGAAATCCCAGTTCAGTAATACAGGCGTGTCCAGCTTGAATGTGCTTGAACGCTTTTGTTTATTGTTAATTTAATACAGAGTGGGTTTCTTCATTTCCATCATACAGTGGTTCATAGTATGAGCAGTAAAACCCCTGATGTCCTGTTCTCTAAACATCCATTTTTTTCCCCTTGATTTTATTTGGAGCTCTCTGCATGACAGGGCAGGATGGGGATCAAGTCCCTGCCAGGTTTAACTGCTCGGTCTTGTTTGCTGAAGGAGAAAGCCACAAATCAAAGTGAAACTGAGCTCCGTGGGTAGCAACACCCTTACACTAAAGACAAAGACCTGTGGAACTGGGAATGCAGGAGCAGTGACACTACTTCAAGTCTTGCTGAAGTTGCTGAACTGGGATTTTCATTCACAGAAGCTTTAGCCTGTACTGTAGAACGGGGTGGAAATAACACCCAGTAACTTGCAGAATACAGGAGTAGGGTTTGCTCCTAGCTTACCCTAAAGAATAGTTACACGCAGAAGAAGTGATTTTTTTGGTTCCTCTTAAGGCCTTGGTGATCGCCTAAATGCTTGTCTTGGTGGTGGGAACCAAGAACATTCTATACTATGAAGTGTGTGGAGGTCTGAGCTCGCATGTGTGGAAAGACAATGAATTCTTAAGATGAGGAAAGCGAGGCATTTGGGGTAAAAAGGGAATCTTGGGTTTTTTACTTGCCTTCACTCCTCAGGAAAATGAACATGGTTTGGTTTGATGAGCTGGCTGGTTCTATCTATATCTGGCTGGTGTGTTCCTCACCTCTTCCCACTCCCCTGCAAATAACTTACAGCCTGCTGTAAAAAGAAACTGAGGTACTAAACACAAAGGGACAACTGAGTTGCTCAGTCTTGACAACCCCAAAGGCCCAGAATTTTTGTCCCTTTTCTCATACTTCTGTGTTTCTGTATGTTCTGTACAGCAAAGAAGGCATGGTATTTATTTTATGAGGACCAAGAGATGAAGGCTTGCTTTTCCTTTCTGAGGAATTTTTCTGCCCATAGTTGAACCTGTGTTTGTGGTTTGTTTTGCTTTATGATGTTTCGGCTTTGCCTCGAGGGAGACAACCTACATCCTTCCTAACCAAGGTTTGCCTTGGCTTTAGTGTGAATTTTGACCAAGTAAATAGTACAAGACTTAAATTTCTCTTTGTAGATTAAAGCAATAAAACTGCCTAATATCAACAATACAAGCTAGGCAACTTTTTTAAAGTGACTGATAGCACTTTCAGAGTCACTTTGAAGAGGAGGGGGGCCTTCATCCCTAGGTCATTGCTGTTTCATACCCCATTCACCCCAGGAAGAACTCCTAACAATATATGAAATTTGTGAATCTGAGGTGTCAGGAGGGAAGAGGAGCGCCAGAGTGTAAAAAAAGTTCATTTTAAAAGCAAATCACCTTTGGCAAACTTCTGCAGCTTAATGGACAGGTCATACACCATGCAGGCGTAAATACTGGGCTTTATTCTTGTGCTGTCAGATTTTCCTTGCTCTTTCTTTGGGAGAGAGGCTGGGACTCCAGGACATATAGTCCTAGTTACTGTCTTGCTCTTGAGAGGACTTGGCTTCCAGCACTGCTTTTTTTTTTTTGAGGAATTTGCCAGGCAATGACACCAGTTCTGGGGATCAGTGAAATTTTACAGCCTTTCCTGGTGCTGCATCTCCCCCCTGGTTCTGGGTGGTTTTCAAGTGAAAGCTTTTCTGCTGCGTATTTCTTGTAAAGTTTTGTTGTTCTTGATGTGCAGAGTATCATAGGAAAAAGCAGAAGTCGACCACATAAAATGCTACCAAACGTGGATGGGGGAAGCAAAATAAGAATTTTGCTCTTCTATCACCTTTTTCAGCTCTGGTAGCTCTTGGTTGCAAGGAGCAAGAGCTCTATCCAAGGTGAGAGCTGCCTGGGTTTTTCCCTTCAGGTTACTGCAGGTTTTGAGTTGCAGAGCTGAAGTTTGAGACAAGTGTTTATCCTGGTACAGAATTAAGTATGCCATAGCTCCAGGCTAAGACATTCCTGCTGTGAGTGGGAACAGCTGACCTCGTGCTCTGACCTCCACAGGATCTAAGTGGATTTATTCGTGTGTTTAAACTCAGCATATGCTTCTGTACATCGCTAAGCCACAGCCTTGGCGACAAACAGCTCCAGATTAATTATATAACAAGGGTGATTGCTTTAAGTTAAGGGTGAATAATACCACTTCACTCAGGATATCCAAACTGCTACTATGCAAGGTGCTGGCACGGTGTGAAAATAACTGGGAAGGTTGGATCTGGAGTCTTTCCAGTACTATAACTCTGTATTTCCCAATAATGTATTCTGCTCTGATATTCCGGGGGAGGGTAAAACATTTTTTTTTTTCAAGCATCAAGTTGTGATAGTCACTTCTTCTGTGGTGTTTGCTTTGTTTTTTCATTTCTTTGTGTACACAAATTTAAGTTGGTGCAATTAAGAAATATACGATGTACAGATTTATTATATCATTAAAACAAAAACTGAGAAGAGGATTTTTTTAAAAGAAGTAACTGCTGCTGTACATAAAATAAAAGCCTATTGTCTCTGTGTGGTGTGCTGTCCTACATACCCAGTCAGCCAAGCATAACAGATGGTTTTCTACTCTCCTTCACTCATTTGACCTGTTGCTCAACACACTTCCATTTACCTGTTTGTTCAGGAGCACTGTGGGTTGTTTCTGATAACCCTGGCCTATCAGGTGGCCCCTTGTTGCCTGAGAAAATCACTTGAAACATGGATTAGGTGGGAATTTAATGGCAAGAAGGAATTGTGGAACTCGTTGTGGTTACTCATTATTCTTTCTCTCGGTTATTATGTTGTAATACCCTGAATTGGGGGGCAAAGGGGAAGGAGTGTTAAGGCCTTGAACCTGTGGAGAAGACGCCAGTGCTAAAACAGAACAGCCTGGGAATAAGGTTCTCTTGCAATTATATTATTTAAAAAGTTATGTCATAAACCAATGCTGCCGCAAAGCCCTACCAGACTGAGTGAGGGGGTGGGGGAGGGGACACCAAACGTAAAACAACAAAACACACAAGCAACCAAAAAAATAATAGGCATTCACATGAAAATAGCCACAATAGTGTTTCTATTTCCCTTCCAAAAGTGAGTGCCGTCTCTTCTTTCATAAGGAAATATTATGTTTCCTTACTGGGGGTTACTGTTCACATTTACATGCCTTTTTATTTAATTGCTTTGCTGAAAGTTCCTAAAAGTCTCCCCACTTTTTCCTTCTCCTTCGTGCTCTAATCAGAGGTGAGGTTTTATACTTTGTGTGATGCCATTTCTGCACATTAGGAAAAGTGACAAGGCCTATCAGAGGGAGAGCAGGAATGGATGTGGCACAAAGTCTGGCACCACACCCTCCCCTTAAGCTCATCATTCTGAAACAAAGAGTGTAAGGGATCTTCATTTTTTTATCTCTCTATCCAAGCCAGCCTGGTGTAAGGTGCAAGTTCACAGTCTGATGTTAACTCTGGGAAAAAAAAAAAAAAATTAAAAATCATTTTAGAGCTGCAGGATCCAGAGTCACATTCTAAACATACAGATAACTTACTCTGAATTATTTTATACTTACTCCAACAAAGTGAATGGACTGCAAGTAGGATGACCACCCTTGTGTGCTGGATGCTGGAGAAAACCAGGCAGAGGTCCAGTGTGCACTGAGATGTACAGGGAAAATAAATTAAAGCAGACTATGCAAAGCTAAAGGCCCGTCAGCTTTGGTCTTTGAAAAAGCAAATGACGTGTTCATGCAGTTAGATCCTTGAAAAAACTCCCCTTACTGCTCCTCTGCTCACTGCAAACTTCTGGTGAGTCATTTTGAATGAATAAATGGTTCTCCCCCCCAAAATTAACACTGTCTTGCCAAGAACAATGTTTTTAAAATTCAAATGCTGCATTATTTCAGTTTAACCAAGCACCAACAAGAAGACAGTCCCAATATGGCCAGTGTCCTGGGGATGCATCAGGAGGAGCACTGCCAGCAGGTCACGGAGGAGATCCTGCCCCTCTGCTCAGCCCTAACGAGGCACATCTGCAGTGCTGTGTCCAGTTCTGGGCTCCTCAGGACAGGAGGGACATGGAGCTCTTGGGGCAGGTCCAGAGGAAGATGCAAAGATGCTGCAGGGATGGAGCATCTCTGGGAGCAGGAAAGGCTGAGGGAGCTGGGCCTGTTCATCCTCCAGAGGACACACTGAGAGGGGACCTCCCCCAGGGCTGTGGGGTCTGCAGGGAGGGGGCAGAGGATGGACCAGGCTCTGCTCGGGGGGGCCCAGCAATGGCACAAGAGGAACGGGCAGGAACTGATGCCCAGCAAGTTCCACCTGGACACAAGGAAGAGTTTCTTTGCTGTGCAGTGACCCAGTACCGAACAGATCACCCAGAGGGGATGTGAAATCTCCCTCAATGGGGATATTCCAGAACCACCTGGACACAATCCTGTGCCATGTGCTCTGGGATGACCCTGCTTGAGCAGGGAGGTGGGACCAGATGACCCCACTGCGGTCCCTTCCAACCTGACACATCCTGTGATTCTGTGAATACTCTCTACACATCCCTTTTGAAACTGGGCACCTGTGCAGAAGGGTTAATGAGATTGGTGAGAAGCAAGAAAGACCCCAGACCTTGCCAACTGTTAAAAGATGTAGCCAGGTGTGAGAAAAGCACGGGCAGGGCAGAGCTGGTGCTTGCTTTCCATCACCTTTAAATCTGAAGCAGTGCTCTGACTGTGAACACTGGCCAGTCACACCATGGTGGCACGGCTGCATAAGGCTTTGGGGGGGACTCTGATGCAGGCAACACTTCTTGCAAAAGCTAAAATTGGGACACCTTCCTTGAATACAAAAAGCCTGAGTAGTTCTTGCCGTGGCCACCGCCTCTGAGGGTGTTCTTGGCTACACAGAAACACTTCACATGGGGAGTGGTGAAGTTCCCTCAACTGAAAGTTTAAGCCCCCTGTGGGAAGAAGGGCATTCTTTTAGTTTCCTGGGTACCAAGCCTCTTTGGTGGCCCATTATATAAAATTATAGGCATTGCTGGTTAGATTTCTGAGGCGATGTGTCTCTGCAGTGTCTGCTGTCAGGCACAGCAGGGCTGGGCCCTGACAGACCCTGCTAACAACAAACTGACGAGACTTAAGAATCATAGAATCAATTAGGTTGGAAAAGACCTCTGAGATCATTTAGTCCAACACTACCATGTCAGCTAGAAACTGAGTGCCATGCCCAGTCTTTCCTTAAACACCTCCAGGGATGGTGACTCCACCACCTCCCTGGGCAGCCCATTCCAATGTTTAATAACCCGTTCTGTGAAGAAATTCTTCCTAATGTCCAACCTAAACTTCCCCTGGCGTAGCTTGAGGCTGTGTCCTCTCATCCTGGAGCACTGAACTTGGGATACAGAGGCACAGGAGCTCAGGTACATGGCCAGGGCTTGGCTTTGGAAACACAAGGCACGTCCAGAGAAGGGCAAGGAAGCTGGTGAAGGGTCTGGAGCACAAGCCTGATGACGAGTGGCTGAGGGAGCTGGGGGTGTTTAGCCTGGAGAAAAGGAGACTCAGGGGGGACTTTCTTGCTCTCTACAACTTCCTGACAGGAGGTTGTGGCCAGGTGGAGGTCGTGCCCTTCTCATAAGCAACCAGCAACAGGATGAAAGGAAATAGTCTTAAACTGCACCAGGGGAGATTTAGGTTGGACATAAGGAAAAATTTCTTCACATAAAGGGTGATTAGACATTAGAATGGACCGTCCAGGGAGGTGCTGGAGTCCTCATCCCTGGAGAGACTGGACATGTTACTCAGTGCCCTGGTCCAGTTGAGCACGGTGGCGCTGGGTCACAGGCTGGACCCGATGACTTCAGAGGCCTTTTCCAACCTGCGACTGCTTCCGTGACCCCGTTCGAACGCTCCGGGACGCCTCCATCCAGCGGTGCCCAGCGGGAGGAGAAGAGAAACCCAGCCGGTGCAGAGCGGGTGCTGTGCCGCCCTCAGCGCAGCCCGGGGAGCTGCGGGGTCTCGCGTGCGCTGATCCAGCGGGAAGGGCTGCGGGTGGCGGAGGTGAGGCACCACCCGGTGGGCACGGACAGGGATGAGGGGCAGGGACAAGGATAAGCACAGGGATAGGGATAAGCGCAGGGATAGGGACAAGGGCAAGGATAGGGACGGCGACAGCGCCGCCGCCCAGCCCCCCCCCCGCACTACACTTCCCGCCCTGCTCCGCGCCGCGGCCCCGCCGCCTTCCGCTGGCGCGTGGTTTCCGGAGCGGATCGGAACCCGGAGCGCGGATCCGATCCGGGCTCTGGCCATTCCCGGGGCAGGTAACGCCGGTCCCCCCCGCGCTCCTCCCGCCCGCGCCCCGCGCCCTCCCCCGGGGCTCCCCCCGGCCGGGACCCTCCCTCGCCCGGCCCCGCCGCGGCCCCTCCCGCCGCCCCCCCCCAGCGCCGCGCCGAGCGGCGGGGCCGGGGCGGGCGCGGCGGCGGCTCCGAAGCCGCTCCCGGGGCGGCGGCGGCGGCTGCGGCCCCGCCGCCCTCCTCCTTTTCCTCCCCGTCCTCGTCCTCCTCCGCCGCCGCCGCCTCCTCCAGGCCGCCTGTTCTTTGTTACAGCGGCCGGGAGGGCGGTAGCGAAGGGGGCGAGGCGGGTCCGAGGCAAAACCCGGCGGAGCCGCTCCCGGATCGCGGGCCCCGGGCGGGCTCCGGGAGGGGGTGGAGGCGGCGCGGTCCCGGCGGGGCCGGCGGGGCGGGGGTGGGTGGGTTGTCCGCGGGGGATCGGCCCGCGCAGGGAGGGAGGGGATCCGGCGGGGCCGCGGGGATGCGGGGCCGGGCGCGGGGAAAAGCGCCTTGGCTTGGCCGCGGGGGGTCGGGAATGGATTTGGGGGGGGGGGGGGGGGGGGAATTCCATGTGTGATCCAAAGGGAAGTGGGGGAAGAGGAGGAGGAGGCGGCAGGTGTAGGGATGCTGATCCTGCCCCGGTGGGAGAAGGTGGCGGCGGCGGGAGCCTTAAGAGAGACAAAAGGGAGGGAAAGCCGCGGACTGCGGCGCTCCGCACACGTGAATTCTCTGCAGTACGCTCGTTTTCATTAAACTTTGCGTGTACTTCGTGCACTGGGAAGGGCAGGTGGCGCCGACTCCCAGCCGGTGTGTGACTCCGTGCCCCCCACCCCCCCAGACTGGTGCAGGGATCACCCCCCCTGCTCCTCGGTAAGAACTGATAGAATGGCCGTAATTTTGGGGGGAATACGAGGCGTCTCTGTAGTTTTGCCAGATGCGCCGCGATTACTTTGAGCAGTGGCATGAATTAAGTTTGACTGCCTCGTGAGGAAAGCTGCATTTTTTAAGTGGGTTCGTGCACACGCAGCACCACCCACTTGTGCTTTCAAGTTATTTATTCACACTTTACTAGAAGCCCATTCTAAAGCAATGGAAAAATTAAGAAAGGGAAGCTTTAATTTTACCTGGTTGGTCATTAAGTTCAAACACAGATTTTTAAGCACTGGATTTAATATTTTAAGTTACTCTGGCTTATTTTTTTTTTTAAATCCCTTTGCAAGATCGGGATTACTCAACTTACCACTGGAGCCTGATTTCTTCGTTCAGCAGTTTATTAGGGGAAAGTGTGCTTTTACATCAGTTCTTACATTTTTTAATCCTTTATGGCATGAGTGGTCCCCTTACGGTAATTCACATGTCATGCTCTGCAGTCAGGTACCTGTGATGCTGCAGCGTCTTCATTTGGGTTCCTTCGAGTTCCAGATATGTTTGGAGGCCTGTGTGGCAGCTGGAATTTTTGTGCATAGCTGTGTGCTCTATTCTCGGGCACAAAGTCACTCATTTATTTATACAATCAAAAAGAAATGTGATTTTCTGCTCTTTTACTGTCGTCAGAATTAGGCCTTGTACCTGGTCTTACTTCTTCTGTGTAGCTTTTCACCTGATTATTCACCGCTAATGATCGCTCTCTGTTTCATATTAAAAAATACTTGGAATTCCAAGAAGCTTTGATTATCTCTGCAAGGCAAGAGCAGAATTACGAGCAGTGGGATGAGTGACTTAATTGAGTATTTTTCTGGTACAAATGCTTGAAAAGAAAAAAAAAAAAAATCAGATGTGGCCCAGAGCAACAGCAGGAAGAGGGTAAAAAAATTCTGAAGCCTGTCTTCAGTGCCATCATGTGAGCCCACGTGGAACATCGTGACTCTGTTTACCAGCTGGAGCGGGTGGCACGGTGTCGTTTATCTCAAAAACTCCTGGGGAAATACATGTGAGATTCGGGAGGAGTTTTGAAGCCTATGGGTGAGGAGTGTGAGTCTGTAAAGCAGAATTTTGAAGCAGATGAGTGGTGTTTATTTCAGAGCACAGTGGGTCGTTGTGCCGGGCGCGGGAGCGGTGGGTGAGGGATCAGAAATCAAAAACAAAAATCTTTGCTGCAGAGGTGAAAACTGTGCTAATGCAGGTGATGACTGAGGTGTGGTGTCCTTACCCAATGCGTGAGGATCCTCTGAGGGACCTTCACGCTTTCTCCCCATCACCTTGAACAACACTGATGCTACTGTGATTTCTCCGCCCCTTTGTTGCTATTCTCATCCGACGGGCCCTGGAACAAGACTGATGTTGCTGCTCCTGTAAAAACATGTGTCCTCAATCTGCTGTTTGTCAAGGATGCGACACAGGAACATCTTGGAAGGGGAATGCCTTTGCTGAGCAGGTCACACAGCAGCATTGCTGGTGTGGCTGCACTGCATCCCTGAACCGTTGACCGAGGACACTATTTGTTAATTCAGCCATATTTAGGATTAAAGTCTTGTCAGGACGTCAGCTATCTAAAAATAGCACACCTTTGTACACCTCTTGAAACAGTGCAAAGCATCCGCATAAAGTCGTGGTTAAAAAGCAAAACAAACCCATATTTTACATCAGCTTGCAATGCACTCTCTGTGGCTGCTTTGAACTGTTGTACTTTGGATTTCCCTAAATACCTGTTGCATCGTTCGCTGTGCTTTCAGGGTAAGAGCTTTTGGGGAAATTTCCTGAATTTGCTGATGTGCCCAGCACCAGCCTTTGTTTGTATAGATATTTGTTATGTTATATGAGTTTAGTCCCCAAAAGCTGTAGCCAAAAAAGGCCCAGCTTGTGCCACAGAGAGGCAGTGTTGGCCCCTTCCCAGAGTAGCGGGTGTTAGGAGGGATCCTGCTGTTGGCAGGTGAAGTTGGGCAGGGCAGAGCTTGGGACAGATCGTGTGGCAAAGTCAGTCTGCCCATACTCCAAATTTCCAAAATTCCCCTTAGGCTGTCGCCCAGGTAGCTGAGCAGTGGGATCCCTCCTGAGCCGTGACCGGGTGTCCCTTTGTGTTCCCATCAGTTGTGGTGGCTTTCCACCCGGTGCCTCTCTGTGTGGGGATGGAGCCCTTTGCCAACTGGGAGTTGTTTATGGGTAGTTTATTGGTGAAGGAACCTGTTTGCTGGTTCTGGTGGAGGCTGGAGGTGGAGCAGGGTGTGGGTGCAGCTGAAATCAGACATTGCTCCCAGGATTTGGCACAAGTGTGGAATCCCTCCTGAAGCAGTGAAAGGGATTGTGTGGGACTTGTGCTGAGAAGTACCTGTGCAGAAGTAGCTGCTGCTCTGGGCTCCAGCCTGAGGCAGATTTCCACAGCCCAGCCAGGCACAGCACGTGGAGCATCAACCTTCAAGAGGAAACTCCTAATGGAGAGTCCTGCTCCTGCCCTGATCCTGAGTAATGACTGTTCTTGTGCATATCTTTGGCTTGGCTTTTGTTGCAGTAGTTACAAATGCTTTATCTATTTTCAAACAGGGCTCTGCTAGTTTGGTGTGTCCTGTTTCCTCTCCCCTTGTGCTCCTCCCTCTCACAAGCTCTCTCCTTCCTATTCTCTTCTTGACCAATATACTTTCTGTTTCTGCAGCCTGATCTCTCTTAGACCTGGGTCATGATCTTCGTGTTGCTTTGCCCCTCACTGGGTTATTGGGAAAATTGCTTATTTGAAGAGGAGAGCCTTTTCATGGTTAGAAAAGGGAGAGCTATCTACTGTTGTGATCTTAGCCATAAATCATCAGACTTTTTGCCATAATTTAATCATTGAGGAGCAATAGATAGTCTTCATGCAAGTCCTTAATACAGGCTGACAAAAATGAAGTGAATGTAGATTATCCTTATTTAACTGTGAAAGCAAATTGGTGAGTTACCATTTCATGGAAGGCTGGTGACAGAGATGGGATTTGTTTTCCCAGGTTTTCTGATGCTCATTACCACAGTATACCTCAGCTTTTAGAACAAATCTGTGGCTTTACCTGCAGTTTTTAGGTTTTTGGGGTTATTGTGTTTATTAAATAAGTAATCTGCCTTTCAGAGATTATTTTTTTCAGCTACTGTTCAGGGAAATGTTGCACTGGGCCTTGTTTCTGCAGTCACTGGGGGTTTTAACAACTTTAATTTCTTTAACTTTCCATTGGTACTCCTGTAGGGACGTTAATGTGTTTGGGTGTGCACTGGGCCAGTCAGCATCGATGTTTACATAATATGGAAAGTAAAAGTCATTCGGAACTAACTTCATCTTTTGTGTTTTGGCAGGTTTAAAAAATGGCAGAAGATGGCAGTGATGAGATTATGTTTATTTGTAAGTATCAGGAAAAAGATCTGACTCTCACGTTGTGTGGCTTGTCTACTCAGACTGTTTGAAATTAAGGCTAAAACAGACTAAGATTTTATATTTAGAAAAATATTTTATTGAAGGAAGCTCAAACAGCTTATGGAGGAATAGAGAGGAGGGTGTGTAATTTAAGCATACACATTCTGATGCTGTTGGCAAACACACAAGGAAACCTCTGAATGTTGAGTGAGCAGAACAGCTTTTTCATGGCTGGAGTAAGTGAGATTGAAGGCCTAACACCAGTGTAAGCCTTTGTTTATCCAGCCAGCTTTAGCAACCAGGGGTGTCTGTGGGGAGCTCTGACCTCTGGCCCAACCTGAAGATCTGCACCTCCACAGGAGGGGGAGGCAGGCTCATTATTCTTTCAGAACAAGCCCGGTTTGAGATGCACCGACTGCTCTGACGAGTCTCACTCACAGCATTCACTGCCTGTGCTTCGTGTTTCTGCCCTCTGGGTCACCCTGTGTGCCAGGCTGGGCTCTGTGGCCTGGGATCTGGGATTGTGGGATCGTGGTGCATGAGGGAAGTCTGCAGCAGTGGTGTGCCAGGGAGTGTGGTGGGCAGTGCCCCCATCCTTGGTGGAGCTTGGCCAGCAGCTTGTTTCCCAGTGGCACATTAGCCCTGCAGCCTTACCTTTGTCACCAGCCTGGACGTGCAGGGTCTGGTGTCACCGTGGAAACAAATTAAGAGATGCGGAGTCCACTCACCTGCTTGTGTGAGCAGAGAGGGCCCTGATGTTGTGGATCCAATCAGGGCAGACCAGAATGTGTCCTTGGGTTTTGGATCCACGGCATTTTACCCCTGATGGCTCCACAGGTGCACTTTAAGCTTATGGCAACTATATCAGAAAGTTCCACTTTTCCCTCCACCGCAGATTCCTTCAAAAACAGTGTTGATTGTTGGCGTTTTTACTGAGTTGTAGGTACCAGTAGTGAAGTTACCTTGTCTTCCCCTTCATAAAAAGATCCTGGTGGATAGCAGCAAGAATGGAGATGTGACGCCATTCCTTAATTGCACAGATAGAAGGTGTCACACGCACGATTTTCGTCTTTCCTCTGAAGTCTGTGGTCTTTGGATGTCTCGAGTTTTCTTGTGCTCTCTCTAATTGGCTTTTCCCATGGGATGTGGGGGCTGCTCATGTTCTGAAAAATTAGAGTTGTTACCAGTGATACTGTGCACTCCCAGAACTAACAACCTTGAGTACGTATTTCATAGACAAGAGAGTTTTGGAATACTTTTTTATAGAAGTCTGTGAATACAGTCCCCCCTGAGGTATTTTGTGCTTATTCCCATGCTAATGTTTGTGTTTCTCCTGTGGCTGTGATCTCTTGAAAGGGTCGCATATAGTAAGGGCAGCAGCTTTGGGGGAATGGCTGCTGTAAGGTATCCCTTGGATATTGAGACATGCCACACAATGCCAGTGTCATATTCCCCTGGATTTGGTCATTCCTCTGCAAAGGAGCGAGAGGAATGTGTGGTTTATTCCTGCTTGTAGTTGTGGACAGTGCTGTCTGAACCCCTACAGTGGCTTATCTTTGCAGGAGTGAGGAGTGCCTTGATGCAATCAGGAGACAGAAAAAACACAAAGTTCCCTTTGACAGCAAAGCCTGTGTGAGAAGCTGCTGCTCCGGCTATTCCTTCCTGTCCTCGTTGGTTGTGACAGCCCTTTGTGGGTGATAATCCAGTTCTTTTCAGCAGTCTGGTTTACACATTCCTCTGTGGCTCCTCTCTGCTTTGGGAAATCTGCATTTAGCCCGGGTTATTTCGGGAATATTAAGCGCAGTGTGAGCTACAGGCTCACCCAGAGGAGTGGGGATGGTGGGACAGTAAACAGGACAGCTGTAGGCTGAGTTTGGATGCTGGTGCTGTGTGGATGGCACTTCCCCACGGATCCTTTCCTCTGACACAACTGTCTGGTGCTGTACAGCCAGCCAGACTGGGAAATTAATTCAGCTGAAAAATAAACTGATGGGAAAAGCTGGTTGTCTCGTTCCTTGGTTCACCAGAAGGCAGCACAAACAGGAGGCAGCGGCCAGGCTTGGGGGTTGAATCAGTCAGTACTGCTGTTTGTCAAATCTGTGTGAATTTTCACTGCTAAGCTGTTTTTGTTGCCAGAAGAAGAAACAGCGTGGAGCTATGTACTGCAGTTTGGGATCCCTTGTTTTAGAAGAAGTCCTTTTATTCACTGGGACAAATACCTGGGGGGGACAAGTTTCCAGTTAGGAGCTCAGAGTGGCTTTACCAGAGGGGACATACCTTGGAATGACATGGCTTTTGTCCTGTCTCTGCCCAAACGAGGTGTAGTGATCCTCTTCTTTGCATCCTTCCTGGGGTTACCTGACTTGCCCTTTTTAAGTGTGGAGCTCAGATGGAAATGGCACTGCAGGAATATAACCCCTGTGTGATGATCTCCTCTGAAGCTGTGTCAGCAGCTGACCAGGCAGGGCAGTTTGGCAGCTATTTTTTCACAGTGAAGCAATGTATATGCATTTGGAATCCTGTTAAGTTAGCTTATTTTAGAAAGCCTCAAATTATCCTGGTCTGAAAATGGTTCCTTAGGAACCACTCAGTTCTGGGTAATTTACAGCCACTTAAACTAAAAGTTAATTTAGGTAAACTGACAGTGAACTAAGTGTATTGTGCAGCCAGATGACTTGTCTGGAAAGGCACCAGGAGGTATCTTGGAGGTCTGTCTCCCTGCTCTGTGGGTGAGAAGTGTTTGTGGGCCAGGCATAGCTCTGGGCAGAGCTGGGCTCCCAAAACATGCTTGTGCTGAGGCCTGTGCCAGTTCTGGTACTGATTTATGCCTCCTGTCACTGAAAACATCACATTAGCCAGGCTTTTTCTGAAAAACCAGGTTGTGGGGAAGGTAGTAATGTGATTTTCATTATCTGCTACATGTTACAGCGCTTTATCTGAAGAATAATGCCATCTTTAAGCAGAATATTTACTGTGGATGTAAGGCAATTATTTTCCCTCTGAGAGAGGATTTAAACAATTGTCTTCTGATAGCACTGATCGCAGTGTGTGTTATCTCACCTATGCAGGTGCCAGCTATCAACTCGATGTTCAATTATTCATGTTCTTTTAAGCAATATAAATAAACATCTGCCTCTCTGTGTATGTATTTTGCCTGGTGCCAGGTTTGGCTTGGAAGAAGGAGGCAACTGCCTCACAAAAGTGTCTTATCAGCCTTTTCTCTCTGCTTCCTTGCAGGGTGTGAGGACTGTGGGCAGTACCATGATTCAGAGTGTCCTGAGCTGGGCCCAGTGGTGACAGTCAAAGACTCCTTTGTCTTGAGCAGGGCAAGGTAAGGAATGTTTGAGTTAGTCCTGCCCAACCCAACACCCCCGTCCGTCCTTTAAAACATATTTGATGTCTAATGGGTGTCGCTGACAGCTGGAAAGAGAAGTCCCAGTGGGCCACAGGAATTTATGGAAAGCACATGGCCTTGATTAAATAGAAAAATTGATGCACACACTTGAGTGCTGTACTGAACTGAAGCCAAAGAAATAACTTGCCGCTCATCAGGATTTGGTTTCTCTGCAGAGGTTTCTGGCAAAAAGTCAGGTAGTGCCAGATGGGGTGATGACTTCTGTCTTGGTTGAGTACCTGCCACTTTTTCCCCTCCTCAGATGCACTGTATTAGTTTCAGAGAAGTGCGTGAGGATTTCTCATTCATGCTGTATCCTCCTGCTTGGTCTGAACTCCACGTAGAAGCAAAACAAGTTGTTCTCATTATTATGGGTCTTTAGGAATGATTAGGGGTAATAGTTCTGTCAGAAAATCTGTGACAGCACAGCAGAAACGCTCATGTTTGCCAAAAGAAACAAATAGACTAAATCTAGTTGGGAGCAAACAACACTGAGTAGGGATTTTTACAGAGAAAGACAATCAGGCGTTGTCAGCAGAATTCATATTAAGATGTAAAATGTAAGGCTCAGGAGAGGAACCAGCTATTGTGAAGATGTAGTGCAAATCCAGAAAGGGAAGAGGGTTCAGATGGAGTTCAGATGGATTATATAATGTGCTCAAGGCTTCTGTGTTTCTTCCTGGGGGAGTCACAGGCAGAAAACATGGGCACGTGGGCAGCAAGTCTGGCACCTGCTGGCTATGTAGGCTGTAGTGTGTATTCCCAGGATCATTTTGTAACAAAATACTGGATGTGCTGGATGTGCCGTGTGGGGCAGGATGCTCCTGGTGTCCCCACCCTGTGCACTGGCAGCACCAGTGCAGGAGCTGTCACTGGCTTTCTGGGCCTTCCCAGAAGAGGAACTGCCCTGCAGCACCTGCCAGGCAACACCTTCCCGTGCCTGGAATAGCCTGCCATGGACAATCTCCTGCAGAAGATGTTAATGGTTCACAGCCCTGACACTGGAGGTGCTTTGTTCTGGGGGGTAATTTCAAAATAGGAGCAACAGAAGCTGGGGATGGAGGTGCTTTTCTTATGCACAGAATCTGGGCAGTGCAGTAGATCTCCAGCCTGCACTACACAGATTGAGTGACAAGTTAAACTCTTGTGTCTTACCTTTTATCTGTTTTCTTTTTCCTTGCAATTTAATGCCCTTACTTATTTGTACGGTGGAAAATTACCATAGTGTCCAGAATTTCCAGCTGTGAATGTTTGCAATCGTGGTGCTTTGCACTGGTTTTCAGTGTTTCCTTTTTGACATTCAAATGCCAACTTTTCCTTAGTGGAAGTTTGGGCTGCTGGACAGTAGATTTGAAAGGAGAATTTAAAAACTGCCTGTATGATAGAAAAATGCATTTATTTTCCTGAGGAGTTTACAGCTGAAATCAGGTAAGATAAGAAAAGGAAAACAAAAATGTACAGGCAGCCTTTATTTTACATCTGGGAACAGTAGCTGAGAGAGTGAGTTGTCTGAGGTTGAGGGCAAGTTTAACCACAAAGTGGATATGACTCTCTTAAAAAACAGTCTAGTTGTTTAACCACAATTGTTGTTTCCTCTGTCCTAATGAAGAGATAAAATGAATAAACCATAAAGATTATAAAGGAAGTGTTGGGAAACATCTCCTGAACTTCACTGTCCCTAACATTGCTTATTCTATGTTTAAAACTGAAAACGTTTGTTTTTTTTTTTCAGTTAATTTGCTTATCACTATGATTTCTTTTTGTATTTCTCTTCGTCCAGACACTGAAGCAGTTCTGCCAGCGTCAACTTTTGTAGTCTGTAGCCTGTCTGATTATTTTGAGCTTTTCATCCGTTAGACCTGAAAAAACAGAGTTGTATTTGGGGTCTGTAAAAGCAATATGGTGGTTCCAGTCATATGATTTTTGGGGGGGGAAGATGTTCTCTGTGTATTCTATGTAGTAACAATTTTTATTGCACAGAAGCACTTGTGATCAGTGTGTCAGTGTTTGTAATCAGGGATCTACAAGGCAGATGGGAAACTTCCAGGGCTTTCATCTTAAGGGCTTTGATCTGCATTAGTCTATAAAGTGTTAATTTGGGGAGGGATATAGTTTATTTTTTAAAGTAATCATGATCATAACCAAAGATCCATAGGATAATTCATTTGGAAAGAGGCCTCAGGATGTTCCAGTCAAAACTAACATCCACGCTGAACCGCTAATTTGTTTAATTTTTATGCATTTTTTTTGTCCCTTCTACTCTTACCATAAGCCCATTTTTGATGTTTTTCCTGTACTAGGAGCCTGAAAGAGGAGGCAGTAAATCATTAGGATCCCCTGAGCGCGGAGCAGAGGGGAACAATCACTTGCCTCAATCTGTAGGCTGCTCCTCCAATTCATCCAGGCTGTGTTTGGCCCCCTTTGCTGCTGGGACACGACCTCATGACCACCTTGCTGCCCACCCCCCCCCCCACACCCCCAGGGTCTTTCTCCCTGGTGACAGTGCTGGCCGAGGTTCTTCCTTCCCAGGTGCAGGACTTTGCATTTGTCCCTGGAATTATACCTGGTTCATGGCAGTGTATCCAGGCTACCCATGTCCCTCTGGATAGTCCTGCCCTCACATGTATGGACTGTGAAAGTGCACTCCCTTCTCCCTTCTGGGTTGTTAAGGATTGTTCAACAGTACAGGTTCGCAGCACAGCACTCTGTGGTGTCCCAGTTGTTGTGGCCTCCAGGTAAAGAACCACTGATCATGACCCTCTAAGCCTGACCACCCAGTGAGTTATTTCCTCTAGTAGTTGTGTACCCATCCAAGACCATAACATTCCAACTGGGATACAGAGAGAATTGTTGAAGGCCTAAAAAAAGTCATTTCCCTTAAGCTGAAGGGAAGTGGCATCTATTGCTCTTCCCTCATCCACAAAGCCGGTCATTTTATCCTGGAAAACAAACAGTTTGTCAGGGATGAGTTGCCCTTATTCAATCCATGGGGACTCTTTTCGGTCGCCTTCTCCTCATGTGACCATAAATGCCTCTCAGAAGGTCTTGTTCCATGATTTTCCCAGGGGCTCAAGTGAGGCCAGTCAGCCTGTAGTTCCCTTTGGAATATAATTCTTTTTTGAAGATGGGTGTAAACATCTGTCTTTCTTCAGTCATAATCGTGGAATGGTTTGGGTTGGAAGTGGCTTTAAACATCATCCAGTTCCCTCACCATGGTCAGGGATGCCATTCACTAGACCAGGTTTCTCCAAACCCCATCCAACCTGTCCTTGAACACCTCCAGGGATGGGGAATCCACAGGTTCTCTGGACAGCCATTCCAATGCCTCACTTCTCTTGAAGTAAAGAATTTCTTCCTAATATCTAATCTAAATCACTCCTCATTTAGTTTAAAACCATCGCCCCTTGTCCTGTCACTATCCACCTATGCAAAAAGTGACTCTCTCTCTTTTTCATAAGCCCACTTTAAATACTGAAAGGCCACAAGGAGATCTCCCTGGAACCTTCCCTTCTCCAGGCTGGAACAACCCCAGTTCTCTCAGCCTTTCCTCACAGCAGATCATCCTTGTGGCCTCCTCTGGACCCACTCCAACAGGTCCGCATCTTTCCTGATGGATGCAGCACTGCAGGTGGGGTCTCGTGAGGGCAGAGTAGAGGGGGAGTCATCAGACACCTCCCCTGATGCCCATGATCTTTCCAAGACAATTGAGTGTAGTCTCAGTGTGGTATTGGACTACTTTGCAGGGATTCTCAGGTGCAGCCAGTCCAGGTAGATTCCTGGGCTTACATGGACTGGGCTTTCTCAGGTAATCACTGATTTGTCCCTCTTCCACTGCTGGTAGTTGTTCTCCTCTATTTATAAATCCTCCCAGAGCTTAGGGTGTGTTGATCAGAAAACTTTGCTGTTACCAGGGACTGGAGAAATACACGCTGACTTCTTTCTTTCCTGGGTTCCTGCAGTGTTGTCCCATGTGTAACTATTTTTTTTTTTCTTAATTCTCTCTTCAATTTTTAGGTCATCTCTGCCTCCTAATTTGGAGATAAGACAACTGGAAGATGGGACTGAAGGAGTGTTTGCTCTGACCCAGCTGGTGAAACGCACCCAGTTTGGCCCATTTGAATGCAAGAGGGTTCTCAAGCTGGAAAAAGACACAGATTTTCCCCTGAAGGTGAGACACAGCACATGTCTCAAAGCAAGAACAAACCCTCAGTTTTGCCTGTGAGGACTTGATGCCATCTAAAACTATGGAAAAAAGTGTATGTAGGGGGATTATTTGGAACATCTTTTAGGTCTGCTCTGTAATGGATGAGTTAAGAACCATTCTCTGGGCAAGGTACAGAAGAACCAAACTAGTGGCTCGTTCTGTGTTTGAAGTGTTATAAGAGATACTGTCAGCAAAACTGGCTGTCTTTCACCTTGTGCATGTGATGATACAAGAGGGACAACAACTATGGCAGTTAATGAGTCTCTTCAATTTGATTGTTTAGCAAAATAAGGTGGTTTTTTTTTCTGCCTTGCATTTGTTTTATTCCTCTCTTGACGAGTCTTGGCAGGAAAAATGCTGCACTAAAAATGGAATTCAGTCTTAGTTTTCACTAATACCTAAGTGAGAAGTGAGAATGTGACTTAGGCTGATGGGTGTTTCACAGCGTGTTTCGCTCCATCCTCCTGTTTCCAGCCGTTTCTTGAGACACTGGTGGTGGCTGTAGCAAGAATTCTTAGGATAGGAAGTCAGTTTGTTCCCATCCTGCCCCTGGTAGTCTGTCTCAGACTTACCCATCCAAAGGTGTGACTGATAAATGGAACACCCCTGATGGCAGGAGGTGAGGCTTGCCTTGTCCCTGGCGTGGGCTGAAAAGAAGCTGCTGCAAAAGCAGAAAATAAAAATCTTCCTTAGCTCTGTGTGTTATTTATCGGGGGGGTTTTATTACATGCACGTTTTCCTTGGTAGGTGTTCCAGAAGGATGGGCCCCTGGTGTATTTTGACACCACAAACGAGGACGATTGCAACTGGATGATGATGGTGCGGCCAGCCACCGAGTACGAGCATCAAAACTTAACTGCCTTCCAGCAGGACAATGACATTTACTTCACCACCTGCCAGGACATCCCACCAGGGACTGAGCTGCGAGTGTGGTATGCAGCTTTTTACGCCAAAAAAATGGAAAAGCCAATGCTGAAGCAGGTCCCTAGTGTTGCCAATGGTATGTGTGGGGGCCTTTCTTCCTTCCTAAGGGCCCGGTGCTGACAGGGACTGACAGTCCCTTGCTGTTGTAGTTGACAGGGCTGTTTATCCAGTAGGCTCTGCCCCCTGAGTCAGGCTAACCTGCATACAGGGGTGCCCTGCAAGGAGAAAGCACGGATGCTTCACCATGGTACAGCCAAGTTTTTGAAAACAAAAGGCCTAGTTGGTGACTGAGCCTCTTCAGAGGGAACAAACTGGATAAATAGTTCTTAACTAAAGAATTGGTGGTTGCGTTTCTGTTTTTCTGGGTAGAAGGGCAAAGGAACTCGAGTATCAGTGAAGTCTAAAATTTGTGCAGATTTTCTAAGGAAGCCATTCCTCTTCAGCTGCAGTGAAAGTGTTTTGGTTTTGCACAAAACTGTTACACGGTTCTGAAAAAACTACATTTATCTTAAGACACGGGACCCACTAGAATGAGATCCACATGAACTGTTTGTGCGTTGGAAAGAAAGGCAGCAGATTTTTTCAGAATCTGAATTGGAATTGCCAGAAGTCTGTTGTTCCTCTGTCCCTTAGTTTGCAAGGGCATTTTCCTACTTCTCTGGAGTTGGGAGTGTTCCCTGAACGGTATTACTGCTTATGCTGAGTATAATTTGGGGTGACAGATGCTTGGGGGAGAGGCCGTTGCCCTCAGCTTTATGGCTGAATCTTGATCATAAGCAGAATCTCAAGTGCTACAGCTGAATTATTGCAGTTAACAGGTTTTTCTGAGTTACTTTTTTGGTTGGTATTGAGAGGTTTCGTCTTTTTCCTCTTTAGTTTAACCTGTTCATGTATTATTGCATGGGTATGGGTATTTAAAAATATTGTTTAAGCGTGTCCTGCTCTCTCTGTTCAGCACTTTGGCTGTACACTCCAAAATATTAAAGGCACACTGCATTAGATTCAGATATAAGAATGTCCTGGTTAAAATTTGACATGAGAATGTTATTTGCAGGCCTGTTACAGAGTGAAACTTTTTTGACTATGGTTACTGCTCTCAGCACAGAGCAAGAGAATCAAAAGGTCTGGAAAGTAAAGAAGATGAACTCTTTTTCCTCTTCACAGATATGTGCTTGGCAGCAATGGAATCTGATAAAGAGGCAAATAAGGTCTCTTCAAAACCTTCTTCTGCTGTCTTACCCCATAAAAAAACGAAAAAATCCGGTATATCAGCAGCTGATCCAGCAGGTAGGCAAAATTACAGTGTTTTTAAGGAGGTAGAAAACAGGTCTACAGAGCTCTTAGGTCTAACAGTTCTATGTGTATATATATGTGTATATAAGGTTATATATCTTACAGCAAATATTAATTTAGAGAGAATTTGAAAGTCTGGGTTTTTCTTTTAATTTTCATGGGCACAGTGCTTAAAATACCTATGCAGGTTAAAAAGAAACAGAGAGGCCAAGCCTTTAGGCAGGTGATTTTTATGAAAAACAGAACTGCTCCTGACTTTGGAGGTGGTTGGTGTTGGGGTGAGGGCAGTCCTAAAGAAAATCTTCAGGCTCTCTGTGCAAAGTGTAACAGTTCAAATGATCAGGTTCTAGAAGGAAAAATGAGACTGTTGGTAGGTGTAAGAACAGTTTGGAAATTACAAAAATACTGGCCATCCCCAAATTACAATAATACCAGAAGCTTATTAATGTTGAGATTGTTCTGGATTACAGGAACTCAAATTTAAATAAACCTATAAGCAATACAGATACTGTTGGGAAAGAACATGTGGCTGAGGAAATAGTAAAGTCAGAATATGTAGTGTGGAGATCAGGATCAAAGAAAACCATTCTGGACCTGTTCTTTAAAAGGTCTCTTCTCTAAATTTTGCTTATTAATACTAAAAGTAGCCAGGAGGAGAGTTGTTATAGATGTATACAAAGCAATTCATCAGAAGATCCAATTGTTCCTCTTGGATACTGTCACAGCTAAAATGGGAAGTTGACTGGGGAGTTGTCTTTGAGCTTGGCATTATTGATTTTTCTGGGGGTAAATCATGAAGAATTTGAACAGCCCCTCCCAACATCCTTCATCCTCCTGTCTGAAAGTCCCAACTTCAACAGGAACAAAACGCTGCCTGTTTGTATTTTGAGAACCCTAAAGCGTTCCCACTGATGGTGCTTCCGAACCAAAATATTCTCCTTTTGATTCTGACTGTTTGCCTCAAGTCGTACAAAGCAGTTGCCAGCTGACAGATCTGTGGCTCCAAGTAAACCACGCTGCCCTGCAGCCGCCCTGGAAGCCTGAGGAAGTGGGAACTTAAACAGGACCTGACTCTTCCTGATAAACCAGAGCACAGCTAGGGTTTCTGGGCTTACTGCTTGAGGCAGCTGAGGGGGAAGGGAGGCGCAGAGTCAGGGAAAATTAAGTTAGGCAGAATCTTGGGGTTTAGGTTTGCTGGTTTTATCCTCCTGGACGGATCTCTCAAGAAGTTCTTTACGTACCCTGTGAAGAAGGAATTTCTGTTGCTGCATTGCCTAGTAATTTCTCATTTATTTATTTATTTATTTGTTACAGCATGGATGAGATCACACCCCTGTAGTGCAGAGTGTTGACCATAACTTGTAGCAGGGAACGGCCTCTGCCTCAGAGAATCTGTTATTTTGGTTTAAGAATCAACACTGAAAAGGAGGAAGAACTTTATTGTCCCATCACAGATGGGGTCCTCAGGCAGGGAGAGATGAACTGACCTGCTAATGATCATCCAGGAAATCTGTGGCAGAAACTGAAGCACAGTTTGAATTCCCTGTGCTGCCATTCACTTACCCAAATTTCAGTGTCATCCTCCTCCTCTGAGGGAGTCTTGTACACTGTGGAATATTCAGCTTTGTGCGAGCCAAAAAAAATCTCTGAATTGGTCCAGATTTATTGGATCCTCTTGACAAATTCAGACACATTATTCAAGGACTAGAATACAATGGACTCTGAACAGAGTAACCATTTTCCTCTTTTCTTCTTTTTCATTCCGGTTCCATTTTCCCCCTAATTTCTTCTTTATTTTCGCCATCTGTCCTGATCTTGAAAAAACATTAAATTAAAACATTAATATGGTGGTTTCATAGCACATTTGATTAATGGAACTGCTCAAACCCGGATTTGCATTGTCCTCACCCACGCTTCCATTAATCCAAATGTTCTTACTCTGCAATGCTCTTCACAGAGAGCAAGGAGGCTTCTCCTGCTTCTCTCCTCAGCTGACCTAAAAAAAGCACTGGTAACTCCAGTTTTAAAGGTGCTAAAAAGTGCATTATATGATGCCTTTTATAAACACAGTTCTTTAAAAAGTGATAAAGGAACCCTCAGGACTTTACAAGAGCACTCTCTCTCCTGGCATCATTTAGTATCTTCTGGTGTTTACAAATGTTCATGTTTGAAAAATCCTGAAGTGATCCCAGCTGCCCCCGTGGGCCTTTTAAATTGTAACCTGTGATACTCAGGGAGATACTGCAAGATAAACAAAGCTTCAGGGATTTACCACCTTCCCATTTCCAAGGCTTTTCAGTATTTCTTCTTGCTGTGATTTAGTGAACACTCCAGAAGGCAGTGGAACAGCAGAAGCAAAGCCCATCCAGTGGACGTGTAAAGTGTGTTCATTTGCTTTCCAAGAGCCTCAGCTGCTGACAGGTAAGAAGTGCTAGAAATTCATGAGAGAATACTGAGAACCATCAGCAGAATTCTGCTCTTCCACAGCTGTGGAGCTGTGGCAATCCACGATGGAGTAAGATAAAGGGTTTAGGTTTTGTGTTCCTTTGAGAAAAAGGGTAGCAGGGAAGGTAAAACTGATATTTTGGATCTGAGTGATCAGTCTGTGGTGATAAGTCTAAACATAAAACAAGTTTAATGTTGAATCTAGAAGAAATAAAACTGTTGTCTAGAGGATGACATGTGTCTGTCAGGAAAATCAAGGATGGGGAGCTGCATGTAAGGTCAGTGATGCCAGCTTATGCTTTGGAATATTTTCTGTCTGGTATTTATGGCACATATTTAGTAAAGGTAATGAAATACTTTTTTTTTTTCCTGCATTTTGTTTGCAGCTATATTATGCAGTTTTTTAAAATAAAATATTTAGAAGCTCTGACCATTCAATGAATTGTTCTTGAAGAGGGGGCTTAGGCCCCTAAATAACTTGGGCATTTGGAAAAACATATCTGTTATTAGTAAGAACAACCTTTCTAGATATCACAACAGTGATATCTAACAAATCCCCTAAAAAAATCAGTCCTTTTAATTGTGTCAGTGTTTAATAAATGATATGCTTTTATTTAGGAAGGTATTGGGACTACTTCTGAAATATTTTGAAGTGAGTCTCTGGAAAGAGAGATGGACCTGATAGATGGGCTTCAGCTGGATCTGTTGGAATATTTCGTGACAGTTTCTTTCCTTCTTACTCTCTTACTCTTTGCCGTCCACCCAGAGCACTTGCTGAGTCACCTGGAACAAGCCAAAGGTGCCCCCCAACCCAGCCCAAATGATGCTGTGGCAGAGAAGGCAGCAGAGGCTCTCCCCACGGACCAGCCAGTGCCCAGTGATGCAGCCAGTGCCAGCACAGACTCCAGGAGAAAGGCCAGGAGGGGGAGAAAGGCCAAAACAGCAAAAGCAGAAGCACCTCTTGTCATTGATGAAGAGAAAGATCCTACAGGTGAAACAGAACTTAAGAAAATGAGAAAATGTTAAGCAATATATCCACTCATAACATCTGTACTGATGCCTTCTCAGCAAGGCCTAAAAGGTAGCACAGAGACAAGATGGAGGTTTTTAGATAGACCAGGAAAGCAGACAATGAACAGACTTTGTTAATTACCTCCAAGGGCCTTGTCTGTGCTGGATGTCGCAGGACCTGCATTTAGGTTGCCTTCATTCTCCTGTGGTGGTCTCAGAACAGGCTGGGGGATGAAGGGGTTGAGGGCAGCCCAACCGAGAAGGACTGATGGGTGAGAGGCTGGACATGAGCCAGCAAAGTGTGCTGACAGCTCAAAAAACAGCCATGTCCTGGGCTGCCCTCGAGGGAGGTGGTTCTGACCTTCTGCTCTGCCCTCATGAGACCCTTCCTGGGGTGCTGCATCCAGCTCTGGAGTCCTGAGCACCCAAAGGACATGGAGCTGTTGGATTGGGTCCAGGGGAGGCCTGCAGAGACCTCCCCTGTAAAGACAGGCTGAGAGACCTGGGGTTGTTCAGCCTGGAGAAGAGAAGGCTCCAGGGAGACCTGAGAGCCCCTTCCAGTGCCTAAAGGAGTCCTGTAAGAAAGATGGGAACAGACCTTTAAGCAGGGCCTGTGTGATAAGACAAGGGGAAAAGGCTTTAAACTAAAAGAAGGACGGTTTAGATTAAATATGAGGATGAAATTTTTTGCAGTGAGGATGGTGAAACACTGGCACAGGTTGCTCGAGAGAGGTGGTGGATGCTCATCCCTGGAAACATTCAAGGGCAGTTTGGACAGGGCTCTGAGCAACCTGGTCTAGTGAGAGATGTTCCTGCCCATGGCAGAGGGGTTGGACTAGATGACTTTTAAGGGTCCCTTCCAACCCACGCTGTTTTATGACTCTTTGAACATGTTTGTGGGCAATTAACTTGTCCATTGCCACATCTTACTACAAATTCTACATTTGAGGTTGTATTTCTATCTGTCCACATTAATGCTTTATTTTTATGGTGTGTTTGCAGTGGAACACGTGGCCGACGTTGTAACTGAGGTCCCTGCAGAAGAGGTAGCCCTGCCTCCACCTGCAGAGGAGAGGATTATGGATTTGGTTTTAGGAAAGATGCCTGGCACCACAAATAGCATCAGTTCAGTGACAAAGTAAGTGTTCTGGGATGCAGTATTTCCTCTTGGGTTTAATTAAGGTTGTGTAGCATGTAGCAGCTCTTGCTAGACTTCTGGGCCCCACAGATGCTCTTTTTTTTAATCAGCATAAAACTGTGTGATGATGCTGGTGCTGCTACTGCTGCTGCTGCTACAAGAGCTGACTTTTAAGTGCCACAAAGATGGCCTGTGCACCGGAAGATGGTGTGACATTGGTGGTAGAATTTTTGGAACATAAATGAGAATTTCATTTTCCATCACAGTGCTGCTTTTATTCAGTGTGATTCCAAAAGCCTCCTGCAGCTGCAAGGTGAAATACTACTCCCACTGAATGTTGGTGATAAGACAGGCAAAGAAATTTTTGCTGAAAAAAACAATTTGCTAACCATTATTATTGTTATTCAGTCTTGCTTGTCAACTCATGAATGACTTCATGTTGGTTTTGTGTGATACTTCAGATTTAGAGCAGTGGGAGGGGAAAACTTTGGTATAACAGAACCTCAGGGAGACTCTCAAGTATCATTTGATTAATTTGGGTTCTTTTGTGTCTTTTTGTCTTAGTAAAATTGACCTCTTGAATTTTTTTTTTTTTTTAATAATAAAACACTCGATTTTTCAAAATTAGCTAGTAATGGTATATATTGAAGTCCTTAGCAGACACAGAGCCATCAAAAATGCATTTCAGAGCGTGGTTGTGCTGGGGGATAGCACAGTGCTGCTGCTTGGCAATGCCCTTTGCCTGGGAACTGCCAAGGTTTCCAAGCTGAAACAGCGCTGGTGTTTTCAGAGGATGAGCAGAACAGATCCTTGCTGTTTACCTCTGAGGGGGGCCTGCAGAGAGAATCTGCTGCTGCTTTTTGCCTTGTTCGTGCTGGGTGACGATAATTTGGAATGAGACACACTCTGGCATCTGCTGCTTCCAGGGGGGTGGCCTGGGGGGAGGGCGGGCACCTTGGCATTGAGGAAGCTCCATCCAGGCTCCCTCCCTCCCTCCCTCCTGCCAGGAGCTGAGCATAACACTCCTCCAGCTTCTGCCAGCTGGTGGAACTCTCTTGCAACCTGTTGGGATACCTTTCAGTCCCTGCCTTTTTCTCTGATCCAGTAGGTTTGCTCATCACCAAAACACCATGTCCCTCAAAAGAAGTTTAATTCTCTCTAGTAGACACAGGATGCGGCGGAAGCTGATAAAGCAGCTTGGGGAGCACAAGCGGGTCTATCAGTGCAGTATCTGCAGTAAGATCTTCCAGAACAGCAGCAACCTCAGCAGGCACATCCGTTCTCACGGTGGGTTTGCTCTTTGCCTCACCTGGGGATTCGTTTTTGTCTCTTGTGGCCTCCACCTTTGAGTAAAATAGCTGGGCTGCTTTTATATATTGGGATATGTGGCTATAGGAGAGCTGTTTTTCCTTTTTTTTATTTCTTTTAGCTCTCTCTAGGAAACTCTTTTAGTTATGCAGACCAAAGCATGAGAAGGTAACAGCTGAAAGTTGAAGTTAGAGTATTTGAAATTTGAATTGAGTACATCTTTTAAACAAGGGCAAGGATGCACTGTTTATTCCAAAACTATTCTTGCCTTAAAATATCTACATATATATATCAACCCCACCCTCACAAGCACAAGGGTAACATAGCTGTGTAAATGTCAGCTGAGTGCTTTTTAGCTTGTGATCTGCAGTTCCAGGGGTCTGTGTCCTGTTCTAAGGGCTCAGCGAAAAATAATCACCGAAAAAGGGTGGGGGAGCTAAACCAAATTGTTGGAAATGGTTAAAATCCACTATTTAGATCTCCTGAATTACTGTTTTTCATCACTAGCCTGTTTGTTTGCAGTTTGCTTTGGAGTTGGTTATAATCAATCACTGACTACTTTCCTTTTATCTTGATTGATCCCCTCAGGTGACAAACTGTTTAAATGTGAGGAATGTTCAAAGCTGTTCAGCAGGAAGGAGAGCTTGAAGCAGCACGTTTCATACAAGCACAGTAGAAACGAAGTGAGTGGAAATGACTCTGGAAATGACTCTTGGGCTCTTGCTGAGGTCGGGTGGGAAGGTACAGGGATATTCCAGGTGCCAGCTGGGCAGCTTGGATCGGTTCCATGTGGGCAGGGATCCCGTGGGAGTGAGACAAGACTGATAGGGGAGAGGTAACATCTTCTGCCTGATGAATTTGCAAAGTGTGGACGTGCTTTTGAGCACATAGAAGGCCTTTTCCATATCCGAATTTCCCGTAGAAAGTTGCTTTCAGGCATCGGTTACAGCAAGGCAAGCTGGAGTTAGCTAGACCTGCATGCCGTAGAGGTGAGATCTGACTTGAGTTTATGGCACTAAATAGGACTGTTCCAGTCTTGTTTGCCTGTGCTTTTCATTTATCACCACCTGTGGTGTCCTTTAATGTGTGAACTGTGGGCAAAGAGTGTGAACTCTGCCTGTTGGTGAGGGGCCTTTTTGGTGCTGCTGCCACAGGAATATTAATAACACACCCGTAGTGGCACCTTATTAGTGAATATTCCCATTTCTGCTTGCCATCAAGGTCCTTAGCTCTCGGATTACTGCCATCTGTTCTGGAGGATGAGTCAGATCACATCTTATTTCCCAGACATTCTGTCTCTGTGTTGGACTTGGGGGAGTTATCAGGAAGGCTGTAACAAGCACACAGCTGGTATATGGTCTTTTTTTTTTTTTAATAGCTCAGATGTAGGAACATGGCAGGATGACACAGCATCAGAGTTTTGCATCAATGGGTATTTAAATGTCCTCTTGAAGGAGTAAAAATTGGAAAAGACAGAAAGCAGAAAAAGTAGTCGAGATTCAGAATTTCTCTGTCAGACATGACTTGGCTTTTTCCCCGACTTAAACTCTACCTTGTTTGCAATCCTCAGGTTGACAGTGAGTACAGGTACAAATGCAACACCTGTGAAAAGGCCTTTCGGGTAGAGAGTGCACTGGAATTCCATAACTGCAGGACAGGTGAGAATGGATAACTGTTCCACTTCCTCTGGCATCTCTACTCCATTTGGGGGGGGATGTCCCCAGATCCATCTCAGCACAGAAACTACAGAAGGAGAGTAGGAATTTAGGTTTTTATCATTATCACAAGAAACAGACTGTCCTGTTTCCCTCAAAATAAAAAAGAAAGTTTTTTTAATAAGAAAAGTGTAACCAATAATCTGTAGAGCAACATGTCCAGTTAGGTATTGCTTTGTTTAGTATCTCCTACTCAGCTGTCTAATATCCTCACTGGTATTTCATTTGTATGTTCACAGATAACCCGTCACCATCTCTGTTTGATTTTCTTTCCTGAAACTAAGTTCCACCTCATTTCTCTGAAATGAAGGAACTGGAAAGGGGATCAGTACTACTGATAGTTGTAGTTTCCTACAATCTCACTTCTATTCAGCTTTTTCACGTTTTCTACTTGCAATAGTGTCTCTAGATGTTTTTTTCCGTAGTGTCACTAGAACCTGTCCTTTTCTCCCATAGCCATCCCTTGTGGTTACTCACATTATTTATGCTGTGTGATCCTATGCTTAGAAAACGACATCCTGGTTTACTTTTGTTGGACCCACCATAACTGTCAGTCCAGAATCCCCCCAGTAATAGTCCCTCAGAGCACCATTCAAAGCAGGGTTTCTCATTTCCTTTCAGAGGGTACAGCTTGTGTAAAACCTCAGCCTTGTGCAGAATGGAAAGTGATGCCAAGTAACCTCAGTATTCTGTTTATTCAAGGACAGCAGCTCATTTTCCCTCTGAGCTGACCAACACAAGCAGCAATTTCTCCTAGAATAGAATCACAGAATCATTAAGGTTGGGAAAGACCTCCAAGATCATCGAATCAAACCTTTGACTGAAAAGGTCAAGGTTTTCTCTATTCTTCAAGGCATCAAATTGTAACTTCTTTAGGATGGTTGCAGCACTGGCAGATTCCATTTACAGGACTATGTTTTTGTGTTCCAAGAAGAGTCTCAGCTACTGAGTACAAAACAAATTCCCCATAGGCCTGTTGTCATGTGATGGTACATTTTTGAGGTTTTATACTTTTTTCTGGAGTATTCTGTACTGGCTGGTGTCAGGAGCCAGTGCTGGCAGAAATATTCTGGTGCTGAGACACAGCTGTGATGCTGGGTTGCTCTGTGTTTAGCGATTTTACCAGCACTAAATATTCGAATCAGTTGCTGCAGAATCCACTCCAAACCTTCATTTTTAGTGTATGCTAGACCCCAGTGGAAACATCCCATGTGAGGAAGTTACAATCCTAGATTCCATGCTCAGGTCAGCATCATACATATTTATTACCTTTGAAAAAAAATAAATTTCAAGAAACACTCATGCTTCTGCATTTCCCTCCTCAACCCATACAATGATGAACAAAAGAACTGCCTGCCTCACAAGCATGCAAAACCTCTTCCCATCTGTAAAGAGCTCTGCATGGTTTCTCTTGCTTACAGATGACAAGACTTTCCAGTGTGAGATGTGTTTCAGATTCTTTTCCACAAACAGCAACCTTTCAAAACACAAGAAAAAGCATGGGGATAAGAAGTTTGCCTGTGAAATCTGCAATAAGATGTTCTACAGGAGGGATATCATGCTAGACCATCAAAGAAGACACTTGGGAGGTAAGTTTACTGCAGATCAACCTAATTATTACTCTCAAAACAGCAGTAGAGGTGAGAAAGTTAGGGAAATGATTGTGTGCATTAGATTCTTCTGGATGGTAGCTGTCATTTTATTGTCAGTTACCTGATCCAGAGTAGCAAGTTCCAGCAAAATGTGACATTTATTAAAAATAATAGTCATGGATCCTGCAGGGGAGTTGCCTAATTCTGTGAAAAACTTGCTAGGAGATGCACCTGTATTTTTTTTTTCAGCCTCATGTGATTGAATCCAGTGCTTCTAACAGTCATATGAAAGCTGCTTGTCTTACTATGCAGTAGTTTAGACTAGCTGATTTTAATTATGATTTGAATTCTCTTCTTCCTTTTTTAAAAAAAGATGTGTGGTAGCTTGAAAATCTGAAGGCAGAGAATTAACTTGCCATGTACAACTGGAAGTGACTACTATATAAATATGGTATCAGTGGGATGCTGTGGGGTGTTATCTTTCAAACACCTGAGAATAAATAAGAATGAGATTATGAGAGTTTACTGTTCAAAATCTCAAGCATCTAAGGATGTTGGAGGTACTGAAAGACTGGAAAAACTTCACAGATTGCTAAACATGGATTAAAATGCCTTTAGTGATCTAGATGATAAAACCAAAGGTGATTTAAAAAGAACAGCCAGACTGTCTGACTTTGTGTTTTTGGCATAGGTGATTGTCACTGGCTCTTTTTGTGGTTCAGGCCTTTGTGTCAAGAACCAGAGGAGAGACAGAGGACAAGGGACTGAATGACAATGACCAAGTGTCTCATTTTTAGCTGTCACAGGAGAGCTGGAGCCCTCTGTCCTCTTGAAAGGAGCAGGGAAAGAGTTCTGAAATCCTCACTGAACATTAAAACTGATGCTGAATTGTTGCCTCTCTTCTTAGAGACTCTCCCTTCTCTCCCTCTTCTTAGTGAAAATATTTGAAGTACCAAGGCCTCTAGATCTGCCTGTTTCCTGGTGTTGACAACAAATATCTCTTTCCAGACACTTTGCAGTTGGTGTAATAGGACTGCTTTTGTATTCTTAAGACAGTTTTAATTTAGAAATCACCCTTTTGTTATCAATTAAATCCTGCATCAAGGCCCTTCCCAGTGTTTCATTCACTCTTCTCCCCCGAGTACTCACCTGAGAGGGCATGCAAATTGGAGTGGAAAACCATGGTTTACTTTTTTGCTTTGTCTTTTTGATGGGGCCTGTTCTGTGAAGGGGTGAGGCGTGTGAAAAGAGAAGACTTTGAGCACAGCACGGAGAACATGGTTCGCTACAAGAAGGAGCCTTCGGGGTGCCCCGTGTGTGGGAAGGTGGGTGTGTGTGCCAGCTCTGCACTGTAGCTCCAAGGATGTCACAGTTCAGTCTAGAGAAGAGAAGGCTGAGATACAAACATCTCCCAGGTGGGTGTCAGGGGATGGGGCCAGGCTCTCCTCAGTGGTGCCCAGCGACAGGATGAGGAACGGCGACCGTAAATTAAAACAAAAGAAGTTCCACCTCAACATGAGGAAGAACTTCTTTCCACTGAGAGTGGCAGAGCACTGGAACAGGCTGCCCAGGCAGTTTGTGGAGTTCCAGACAAGACATTACTCTTTAAACAGCCGTAGCTCCATCGTATCCAAGCCCACTGTGATGGTGGGAGCTGTTAGGACAGAGAAAAGAACAAAAACTGAAGTTCAGGCAAGACCTTTTTTCGGGACACGCAGCACAATGTAGAGTGTCACACGTGGCCACTGTGTGTGTCATTGAAAACTCATGGTTTATGTTATTTAAAGTGGAGTTTTTCTGCCAGAATGTAAACAGCTGGAGTTGACTCTGTGCATTGGGAATCACTTTCCGTTGTTGCATTTGGGTGTTCAGCGCTCATGAGCTTAACTTGCTGTTGTCACAGAGAGTTTTAACTAGTGATTTTATAAATGTTTAATGGTTCATGGTGCAAAATGCACCTGAGCAACTCTTAAGCTGGTGTGTAGACCCTCTGGTTTTGATGCTTTGGATGCGTTACATACCAATCAAGGTAGATCTTGTGCATATATCTTTTTATAGACAAGTGGAACATTCATGATTCAAAAGACACTCTAAATGTTTCTAATTCTACCCTGTGTAATTCTGCTGCAGTGTTTTTAGAAGTCCATCTCTGATGAATGGCCAGTTTCAGTCAGTTCCTTGGAACTTTGCCCCTGGATTTTGCCATGCCAGCAGTTTCTAAGGTAGCCTGCTGGCTGGCTAACAGGACATCCTACATGTTTCTGGCCAGAATGAATCAAAAAGACAGTAAATATATTCTGTGCTCTGCATTGGATAAATTACAAAGAACTGTAGCCCTGCTGGACATGGTCCAAAACCGCTTAATTCCTTCCTTCCTTCTTTGCTTTTAGGTATTTTCATGTAGGAGCAACATGAACAAACACCTTCTAACACATGGAGACAAGAAATACACTTGTGAAATCTGTGGACGTAAATTTTTCAGGGTGGATGTGTTGAGAGATCATATTCATGTCCATTTTAAGGTATTGTGTTAATATTTAATTAGAAAAGGCAGATTGTTTTGACATAACTAGGTTATCACTGAACTGTAAGGGGATTGAACTGAAAGGGAATTGTATCACTCAGTGGTTCTCATAAAGATGCTTTTACAGATGTAATAATGTACCAGTTGAGTCTCTTTACATTAAGGTTCCTTTTATACACACAAACAATTAGCACTATTTGTTTGAATAAAAAAAATTAATATTGTTTGTTTGAATAAACAGTTATTCCTTGTGTAGTCGTGGACAGAGGAACTTTGTTGACCTGGATTGAATGAAGCAGGAGGATATTTTAAATAAATAATATTGCAACAATTGTTAATGCAACGGCATTGCCTGCATGGCAGCAAAAGGTGAACAGGTCTTTACCTTTTGAAGAATAAGTTTAATCTATTAAATGTTCTTTCCCACTCTTCACAGGACATAGCCCTCATGGATGATCACCAGAGAGAAGCGTTCATTGGTAAAATTGGAATCTCATCAGAGGAAAATGATGACAACTCTGATGAAAGTGCAGATTCTGAGCCTCACAAGTATAGCTGCAAAAGGTGCCAGGTAGCTTTAAATACTTTTTGTTTTGGGATGGGGATGGGAGAGTGGAGATGTCTATAAATCATTCAGAACTTTGAATAACATTAAGGGTTTTCAAAGAGAAAAAAGTCCACAGGTCTGCAGCGCTTGTTACCTCTAATCTGTGATGTTATTCCATAAGACTTTAGGTGGTGTTCTGTAAGGTGGACCCCTAACACTTAAAAGAGAAATACAGATATATTCACTTACCTGTGGAAGGGAACAAGCAACACTGGAGGAAGAATCACTAAAGGAACATTCAGATCAATAAGGAACATTCAGATCTTTTACTACCTTTCGATTACGCACAAATTAAAATCATTACAGCATTTCTGAATGATACAGTCCACAGATTAATTGATTTCTGAGAACAGATGGTCCTCTAGTGGATATCCAGTTTGGGGGATCAGGACTGCTGCTTATGTTCAGTGTGGCTGCTTGTTCTTGGGCTGCTCTGTGACTGTCAGGATGGCATTGGGATTACTGCTGGAATGTAGTTTACCCAGTTGTCAGCTGAGAGAGGAAAGACTTTTGAAACCTTTTGCTGCATGGCTTTTGCCATTTGGTAAAGAAATAACGGGGTCCTTAAGGCCCATTTGGATTCTGTGCCCTGACTGTGCTGGGGCAGGTGGGATGCAAAAAAAAAAAAGTGAGAAAAAAAAGCAAAACTGGCCAAATTGACATAGGAACAGGTGAGTTTTGGTAGTTAAGCCACTGACTTGACCCCTGGAAATCAGAGCTTATTTCACAGTGTCCACTTAATGTGGTGCAAGTTCTTACCTTATCATCATTTTATAACCTGGGAATAATAATCCTTGAGTTTTCTGTTCTCATCTGCGAACTGGCATAAAGTGAAAACTGATTTGAAGCTTATGCCAGTAAACATAAGAAGGTGTGGTGTCACAGCAGTTAATCACGTGGCTGCTTTCAGCATGCTAATTTTCCTGCCTGACACCTCATGGGTACATAAACTGCATAAAATTGTGTGCTTCCAAGTGAGGGCAGTTGGGCCTCTTCAGATCAGAAGGCTCTTTTTGGAAACTGGGGGTTTTTTTGGCACTCTTGCAGGTGTTTGTGAAGTAAAGAGTCGTGTAAGGGAACAGCTGTGGAAAGTGAGATTTGCTGTGAGGAGATGGGGAGGCACTTTTGGGAAACAGAGCAGCCAAAGGGAGAACAACATACAAAAGAGTCTTGGTGAAATCCCTCTTCTGAGATCTTAAGAATCTCTGTGTTTTTTTCTTATCCCAAAGTACTTCTTCACCAGTCAGAAATACCCTGACTAGTTTCAAAACTGAAACAAGAGATCATGTCATTGTGGCACTTTGCCCTGATGTTCTGGAGCGTGTCTGGATATGCTGGATCATTTTGGATATGCAGGGTTATGTTGCCCAGGGAGCTCAGTAGTGGAGCAGCTGTCTGTCACAGCTTTAGCACTTCCAGGAGGTGAGCTGGAGTCACTGCCCTGCAGTGCCTAGAAATTCCAACTCTTCTGAAGCCAGTGCCAAAGCTGACTGTGCCAACTAGAGCTTTCCATGCCCTTAGAGCCCAGCAGACATTTCTTCCACCTGTGGCATCCTCACTTTGACAGCTGGTGGAGGTTAAACATAGGTCTCTTCAAGGCTGTTCCTCAGTGCACAACTAATTCGGGGTCCTCTTCTTGTGCAGTGTAAGAAAGTGGAGACACCATCTCGAGCAGGATTTCCAAACGAACCGATGTCCTGTAGCAGCGTGCCTGTAATGGCCAAAGGGGTTCAGGCCTAAATCCAGCTTTCACAGATTTTTCATCTAGTGATACACACGGTATTGGAGTGATACACAGGATATTTAAGTGATACACAGGGTATTGAAGTTATACAGAGGATATTCACATTGACTCACCCCAACTCGAGATCCTGGCAATGCGCTCCCAGCCTATTGCTGCCCCTGAGGACTTTTTCCCCCTTTCATTCACTATTGGTTCTTTCCCCAGCTGACTTTTGGCAGAGGGAAGGAGTACCTGAAGCACATCATGGACGTGCACAAGGAGAAGGGCTACGGCTGCAGCATCTGCAACCGGCGCTTTGCCCTGAAGGCGACGTACCACGCGCACATGGTCATCCACCGGGAGAACCTGCCTGACCCCAAGGTGCAGAAGTAAGACATGTGGCACTGATAAGAGGAACCATCTTCTTGGAGTGACAGTGGCTCTGCCCCCTGGTGCTTTTAGAGAACCAGTGACAGGACTGGAGGGAATGCTCTGAAGTTGTGCCAGGGGAGGGTCAGGCTGGATCTCAGGGAAAGGTTCTTCCCCCACGGGGTGGTTGGGCACTGACCAGGCTGCCCAGGGCAGTGGGCACAGCACCAAGGCTGCCAGAGCTCCAGGAGCGTTTGGATGATGCTCTCAGGCACATGGTGTGACTCTTGGGGATGGTCCTATGCAGGGCTAAGGGTTGGACTCTGATCCTTGTGGGTCCCTTCCAGCTCAGCATACTCTGTGTAATTGGGCTGTACTAAAAATATCTGAAACAGTATAATGGGTGTTAAAAAATGTTTATTAAAAGCTTGAAGTAAATATCACTGGTGATTGAGTTCACACAGATGAAGCCTCACAGTTTGGACTTTGCAAATTATAAATCAGTGATTTTAATAAGCATTTTTTTAAAACTATTTTTTGAGCCAGGCTGCTCCAAACTTGCAGTCAACTTAGGGGTTTCTTAAGGTTCATTTTAAAAAATTTAAGCTTCAAGGAACTTTTATAGTAATTAGTATTAGCAAACGAAATAGAATTGCTGACAGAGATGCCTGAAAATCACTTCTGTCTCAAGAAGAGAATCGCAGTTTTTGGTCTCTTTGGTTTCAGATACATCCACCCATGTGAAATCTGTGGAAGGATTTTTAACAGCATAGGAAATCTGGAAAGACATAAGCTTATACATACAGGTAAAAATGTTGTGTTTCTTTATAATTATCAATACAAAAAAGAAATTTCTATTGCCAGTGCCTGCCTTTCTTTTTTTTTTCTTTTTTTAGCTGGAGGAAAAAACTTATGGGTTTTTACTGTAAGATACAATCAGATAAATGTTATATTTTTGCTTTTAGGGTAGACTCGTTTTCTAAAGCAGGTAATATTAATGAGATTTGATCTGGGCACACAGTCAAAATTCCTAGATAATATGATGTTGCAGGATTCACCTAATTCTGTGTTCTGTACTTCCCCAGATTCTTATCCATGCCACCTTCTCACCATTACACAGGCTGAAAACTGCTACTGCAAAATCATTTTTAAAAGCTCATTACTATTTCATGCTACTCAGTATTTTCCTACCTCAGGCTTTACCTCTTGTTTTTTCCAGATCTTACACAAAAAAACAGCTTTCCTCTCTCTCCAAAGTCTTCTAATTTAGTTTGGGCGACAATATGCATGAAAGGTGTGGTTGACAGCACAGGGGGGCTGTTGCCCTCTTTAGTCACCACTTTAGTCAATTTTTTTAGGAGATGCACATTTTTCATTGACATTTTTTTGTTTGTTTATGTTGTCTTTTAAATTTATTTTTAAGGTGTAAAAAGTCATGCTTGTGAGCAATGTGGCAAATCATTTGCTAGGAAAGACATGTTAAAAGAACATATGCGGGTCCATGATAATATCCGAGAATACTTGTGTGCAGAGTGTGGCAAAGGTATGTCTGATGCCTTGTTTTCCATTAATTGTGATACTGAATAGCAGGTGGATATCTGAATTTAGACTTCTTCCATTCTTAAGAGTATTTGGGAAGGTCTGGGAGTGCTGTAAATCCTGCATCTTTGAGAGGTAGAAACTTTGTTAATCAGGGGCCTTAGGGTTACATAAACTACCCCTAATTTAATAGAGTTTAGTTTTATGGCCTGTAAGAAAACAGTGATTTTTACAACACACTTGGCTAGGTTCTAATGCATTTGCAGCACAGAAGTGAATGCAGGTTGATTTTTTTTCATTCTAGACTTGTTTTCGGGATTAAGAAATGGAATGATTTCTCTCTATAAGAGCCTTAAATGTCAAAGTTGCTCTGACTTTTTTAATTGCTCATGTTATAACTTGGAAAAATCTGACCTGGTATTTTAGTGGAAGGCAGTAGTAAGCCTGACACCTCTAATGATGCTTTGTCTTTGCTTGTCCCTGCTGTTTTGCTTCTTCCTCGGTGGTTACTCAGATGTTTTACAGAGCTTTTTCCTGAAATTAAAATAATAATGGTAATGTGCATTGCTACATAAACAATTAAAAACGTGCAATTGTGGACTTGTGGCAAATATAAGCTTAGAGCTCTTGGGTAACAACATGATCATCCTGAGTTCTCTGAAGGTGGGAGCAGTGGAGTGACTGTCTTGCTGTACCTTTTGTCTCACAGGGATGAAGACAAAACACGCTCTTCGTCACCACATGAAACTTCACAAAGGAATTAAGGAATATGAGTGCAAGGAATGCCACCGAAAGTTTGCACAGAAGGTCAATATGCTGAAGCATTACAAAAGACACACAGGTGAGAGCTCTAAAAGTGGCACTGAATCAGTTAAATACTTCCCAGTAGAGAACTCTTACCCAGAACAGTCAGAGAGCATGAGGAAAACTAATAAAATAAGTATTTTTTGCTTTTTGAAAAGTGAGGTATTGTCCTACTCTCAGCTGACATCACCCATTCTACAGCTGGAGAGATACAGTTTAGTTGGTTTCAAGCTTTACTTTTTTTGAGAGTGGTTGGTTTGGTCTAGGATAGGTGCAGTGTATACCACAGCCCAGAGCGCTGGCTTTGTTTTAAGTTAGTTTTTGGGTTCCCATTTCCCAAAATTTTACCTCCCACATCGGTTTCTCTTGGATTTATTTTCTGCCAAATATAGTGCCATGGCTTAGATGAAATTGGGTGGTGAAGCTGGGCTTCTTCTACTTGTTAGACTGTGTTTTTTATGGTTTTTTTAATGTTAGTAATATGAGACTCTGGATTGTCCCGCATACCTTAGGCTCCTTTCACAGATGCTAAATGTGCTCTTCGTGCAGGAATCAAAGATTTCATGTGTGAGCTCTGTGGCAAGACGTTCAGCGAGAGAAACACAATGGAGACCCACAAGCTCATTCATACAGGTAAACCCTCTAAAAAACAGTGTCCAGCAGCAGTATCTTAATTCTGTTCTTAGGCTTGCTTTAGTCCTGCCAGTCTTGGAGCTGCTGTTGCACCTCCTGTTACCAAACGCGAATCGTTCCTCTTGCCGAGGTGGTGACAGTACGATACTCATCTCTTGGGTTTCCTTCCATCTGCCACCAGTAGGAAAACAGTGGACGTGTTCAGTGTGTGATAAGAAGTATGTCACCGATTACATGCTGCAGAAGCACATCCAGCTCACTCACGATAAGGTGGAAGCCCAGAGCTGTCAGCTGTGTGGGACAAAGGTTTCCACGAGAGCCTCCATGAGTCGGCACATGAGGCGTAAACATCCAGAGGTGAGTTAGTTTGGCAGGTGGATTGTTTTTTTTTAGGAAAGTTTATGGCCTTCAGTGACTTGAATTAATTTTTTTTCCTTTTTTCTGCTTTTTGGGAGACAGCTTTAGGCAGCGTCTGTGAAACATGCTCTTAACTGAATCAGCCCTTTGACTGTGTTACATGTTTCGGTAGTAAACAGGTCTGATTGCCAGTCCCTGAAAATGAAGTTCTTCTGATTATTTAAACCCCTTTTTCTTTCTCTGCCTCAGCTTAAAATGTGTGTTTTTTCATGTTTTGTCTTCATCCATTAGCGAGTATAATGGATTCTTTTTTCCCCCATTGTGTTCCCTGTGTTCAGAAGTGATCTGAAAGAAGTGGTGAATAGAGAGGTGGTGGCAGCATCTGCTGATGATACAAAATTATTCTCAGTATTAAAGATGAATGCTGACTGGAGAGAATCTGGATTAGAGGGATGTTTTGTCTGACCCCAACGGGGTTTTTTCTGTGTTGTAATTTTCTGAATAGCTGTTGTGTTTCTCCTCAGCATTTCTTGTTTAGGTTTGACTGAGGCTTGTCTGTTCCCTTTGAGGCTTTTTTTTTAAACTGCCAATTTATCATTATTGTTGCTTTGCTGCTTTATCATGATGACTGTGAAGGAAGTCGATTTGAGGATTAAAAATGCTCTATTCTTTGATGAGCTGACATGTAGAGATTCAGCTGAAAATAATGAAGTAGGACACAGTATTTTTTTTCAGACACATTGTTTTCTGTATAATTCATCACTTCTCAGTGGGTTGTGTTGTGTCTAGAATGTGAAAATAAACACACTCTTCTACCGGTGTCCTTAAACTTTGCTGGTTTTCAGTGAGAATGAGAAGACTTTATACCAAAGGATTATTTAGAAAAAAGCCATGGTTAACTCCTTCACATTAAATGGTACATGTACAGTGTTAGATTTACATCGTTTTGGCTTAGTGACAGGATTTACTGGGGAGATGCTGTATTGTTTGACTGCAGCTCACCAGCTGATACCTGTCTGTCTACAGATCCTTTCAGTGAGGATTGATGATTTAGAGCAGCTGCCAGAGACAACAACCATTGATGCCTCTTCGATTGGGATTGTTCAGGTAAATTCCAGGCCCACTGGAGGGTGAGGTGGGGACATTTTTGGTACAGAACATAGCTGAGCACAGGCTGTGGGTGAGGAATGTGCTTTCTCAGAGCCAGCCCAAGGGTAACATGTCCAAACAGCTGCAGGTTCTTGATCTGTTTGGTTGTGTAACAGGGGTGCTGGTAAAACAGAAATAATTACAGGGTGAGGTCTCCCTCCCCCAAATCAGGTTTTTCTAAAGTTTATTTCTTCATTTGAGAAATGACGGTAAAACAGCTTCAGGTGATAGGCTCTTACTTGGAACTTCACTAAGCAAAAGGACTTGATGTTTTGTTTGGAATTGTGTTGCTCCAGCCGGAATTAGCCTTGGAACAGGGAGAATTACCAGAAGGGAAACAGCACATAAAAGCTCCTAAACGTGGCCAGAAACGAAAACAAAAGTCTGGTGAGGAGGAGGAAGCTCAAGTGCCTGAGGACCCTGCCTTCAGTGAATACACAGAGAAGGAAGGTGAATTCACAGGGAATGTTGGAGATGAGACTAATTCAGCTGTACAGAGCATCCAGCAGGTGAGCTCCAGGAGCAGGGTGATGGATTGCAGGCATTGCTTGGAGGGATAACCCTTCAGTTTTGGCTAATTGCAAACACAAAAGTGTGAGTGGAACATCTGGAGCTGATTTGATAAACTGTGATAGTACAAAGATGGATAGGGACTTTAAAAAAACAAAGGGTTGGACCGGTAAGCTCCTTATGTTTGTTTTCATTTCCTTTGGTGTTACCATCTCCTTGTTTGCCAGGTACCACTAACTGGCTGATTAAAGAATGAGGTTGAAAGCAAGAAACTCAATTTGGCTGCTTGTTTTGGATGTTGCATGTCCCCCTCTCCCATTACCATCATACTGCTAAAAATGGAAGTTGTTCTATTCCAAGTTTTCTATGTCCCCCTCTGCATGTGACTTCTCCTGATGGCAGTTAGCAACATGTGAGCCCATCAGGTGGTCTTTCTTGACCATAGTCAGGTGCAAGGTCTAAGGTCGAGGTCACCTTTGTGTTTCCCCTCAGGTGGTGGTGACCCTCGGCGACCCAAACGTCACAGCCCCTTCCAGCTCTGTGGGGCTCACAAACATCACCGTCACCCCCATCACGACAGCAGCTGGGACCCAGTTCACAAACCTCCAGCCGGTGGCCGTGGGCCACCTGACTGCCCCGGAGCGCCAGCTGCAGCTGGACAACTCCATCCTCACCGTCACCTTCGACACCGTCAGCGGCTCCGCGATGCTGCACAACCGCCAGAGCGACGTTCAGATCCAGCCCCAGCCAGAGGCAGCCAACCCCCAGTCCGTGGCCCACTTTATAAACCTGACCACCCTGGTGAACTCCATTGCTCCTCTGGGGAACCAGATTTCGGAACAGCACCCCCTGACGTGGAGGTCGGTGCCTCAGACTGATGTCCTGCAGCCCCAGGCACCGGCGACACAACAGCAGCCGGGGCAGCAGCCGGTTCAGACAGAGCAGCAGCAGCAGCAGATGTACAGCTACTAATTTATAACTTTTGGGAAGTTTTGAAAATGGACCTTACTCAGAGACAAAAAAAAAAAAAAAAAAAAAAATTGGAGAATTTCTAATAGGATTGTTTGCTGGATACCAAACAGAGACGGGAAAATGTTTATGCAGTGAGGTGTGAGGTAAAATTGGCGCAGCAACACCCTGCAGCACCCCTGATCTGAGGTTCTCATGCTGTCTCTCTAGACCTTGCACTGTCTTAACAACAAAAAAAAAGAAAAAAAAAAAAAAAAAAAAAGAAAAAAATCTCAAAATCTCACCACAAATTCAGCATCCCCTTGCACTTGTGCAGTAAGATTGAGATTTGACAGGTGCATCATTATACACCTTAACCAAAGCAGGGAGATCCTAAATATTGCGGCACTTGTGATGTACAAAACCCTTTCAGCCATACCATGTCACTTCTCTCCAGTCTGGAAGTGAAATATGAAGACCTTGTTCACAGTGAGTGGAATGTACTTGTGGTCAGCTGGTAGAGACTGAAATGTGAAGACACAAACGGGCAAAACAGTAATTGTCTTTGTTTCTTATCTTCTTTAGGTCTTGTATCTTAACAGCATTGGTAAACTAGGTGGAATTTGGGGCTTTGGGGTGGGCATGAGTGTGGTGTGGAAGAAAATATACCAATTTTACAAAGTATTTCCATTTTAGTCGTGGGAAAAACCCTGTACCCATCACACAGTGTTAGTGCTACTTGAATCAGACAGCTGGTCTGATGGTAAAGCAACTTTTATGGTCTTCTAGTCAAGTTTGAATCCAACCAATTACAAACTGAAAAAAAAAAAAAAAAAGAATGTGATACAGTTTTCTGTAATTTTTCAAACCTGCTCTTTCAATCTTGCTTTTAGCTAATAGGCCTGAAGAGCAATCAGTCCCCTTTGATCAAGTTCAGGATGTGAATTTTTTTCAACTAGACTTATTTCATCGTGTAATAAACATTTGAGAAAGCATTTTTTTTATATATATATACATATACATATATATATATATAGCCTTTGTACTTTACTGTGTGTTCCTGGTGAATATTTGTGTGAAAAACACTGTTGCCAATACGATTAATTGATTTTTTTTCATCCCCATGTTGCCTTTTCTCACAGAAATAACGTGTGGATTCCGTTCCCTTCTGTTTCCAGAAGTATTTCCAAAATCCATGGCCACACACACACAGAGGGTTGTGTGAAATGCAGGAAAAGGGAATGTCTGAAGCATGTTCTGTGTGCTGCCACATGGAGTCAGTGTGCCCCAGTGTATAAACGGGCAAGGTTTGCATGACTGTTGGGGATACAAACAGTGGGTTGGGTCAAAGACGTCTTTGCTGACACTTCACTCTCATTCTGTTCTCCATACATTGATGTGCAGTCCGGACTTTTGCATGTCAAGAAGATAGTATTGTTCCCACAGGAAAAAAAAAAATGAGAGAGCTGATAGCAAAAAGGAATAAACTAAAAAAAAAAAAAAATTATATATATATAATATATATAATATGTTGCTGCCTGGAATCCTGAAAGACAAATCTGTCCTTCCAGCTCAAGAACAAGGCCTTTTTGGGGCAGCTGACTGAACCACAGAACCTTGCTGGAGGTTCTTGCTGAGGATAAAGCAGCTGCTGTGCTCGACAGTGAGAATGGATTGATGGTTGTAAAAATCCTGTCTGTGCCTATCACAGTTACGAAAATGTTCTTTGTATTAGCAAAAATACAAATAGGAACGACTTCAGCTTTGAAAGTCTCTATTAACATGGACTACTTGACCCCTAAAGGATGCCTTATGATCTCTGCAACGAATCCTTCCAAAGTATAAATGTCTGGATATTAAAATTAACCTCCAGTGGGGTTTTTCTGTGCCATAGCAGCATCCAGAGCCTTGCTGTGCCAGGCTCTGTGTAAAGCTGCAGGACATGGATGAGAAAGGGGTATCTGGTGACAGATTTTGTGTGTCAGAGAAGCAGTACTAACTTTTCTGTAAATGTCAACAAGTCTATAAAATGTCTGCATGGGGGAGACCTGTATTTGATGGGAAAGAGAATTTTTCATTCCCTACCCCCTTTTGTCTTCCTCAGATACTTTTCACACAGTATCCTGTAATTTTTTAGACTCCCAATATCCCAAGAAGCAGAGTTCCTGGATTATTTCATCACTGGCTTGAGCTAATTAAGTGTCTCCTCAGCTGTCTTGTCCACAGATACTTCCCTTTCACACCAAACCTGCTGGGCAAGAGGAAGCCAGGTTTTATTTACAAAATATGCTGTTTATGTACTTTAAACTTCTTTTTTTTTCCCCCGTGTTTGGTGCCTAATTGGTAAAGGCATGTTATCTTTTGGCAGGGTACTCTAGAGAGAGGGGGAAAAAAAAAGGGAAGGAAGGCAAATGGAGAGATCCTAGATCAAGTTGTTGTGGTAAATAAAGATGGCTAACATCTAAAAAGATACATATATATATATATATGTACACACAGATGGAGGGGTTACAGTGCTGCATATAGAATTTCTACAACAAAGTTTCGTTTAGACATGCAAATAGTGATTAAGGTTTTAACTGGGGGGGAAAAAAGAGGGGTTTTGCCTTAGCAGAGTCCATCTGCTCCATGTTAATACTACTGACAGGAGCACTGATGACTGCATTGAATCAACCTGCATCATTTTAACACATAATTTCCTGTTTGATAAGAACTGCACATGGAGGTAATGGACCACTGAGAGACCTCTCTGGCTTTACAAAACCTCTTTACCCTGATGTGGTGCCCTGGTTTTCTGTACTCTTGTGGGGCCTGGCCTGCCACCCACACTACCTGGCCTTCATATTCCCATCCAGGCAGGTGGGATCTTGCCTTTATGGGAGGCATTGATTCCAGCTGATTTCAGAAGGAATGATCACGCAGTGAGTGCTGTGGTCACGTAGAAATATCCCTCACTTGTCTCTCAGTATCCTCAAAATCGTAGAATTGGAAGGCACCTCAAAAGATGATCTGGTCCAGCCTTTTTTGGGGAAAGGGAGCTTGGATGAGGTTGCAGATTCATAGAATCATCATTATCTAGCAACCTATCCAAGTGCATCTTTACAAATCTCCAGTGACAGGGACTCCACCACATCCCTGGGCAGGTTGTTCCAGTGGATGGTTGTTCTTACTTAGAAATTATCTTTATTCAGGAAGGAGAAATATAAGCACTGGGAGGGCTTTGGCTGTGTCAGGCAATAGAAAGTTTTCTACAAGCTGATCTTCCCAGAGCACTCCTTTGAGACAGGAGAGTGACTTTCCCTTGCTATGGTACCTCATCATCTCTCAGCATGAGTTTATTATTACTATTGTTAATCAGCATCCCTACAAGAACACAACTGTGTCTTGGGTGTGCTGCACCACGAAAAAAAATGTCAAAAACACCCCAAATTCTTGTGTTTGCTTTTGTCTCAAATGATTTTGTTTGGAGAGGTTGGAAATTGCTGCCTTTTCAGGCAGAGCTTACCTGGGGCAAGCAGTGGCCCTTGCCCACCTGCTCTCCCAACCCAGCGCTTTTCAGGTGAATACCAAAGTTGTACCGATGCTGTTTCCAAACTGCGCAGGAAATAGAAGCTCCTTAAGGGATGTGCAATCCAAATTTCCTTCCCCCATTCGTTACCTGCCTCTTCAGCTGTAGGACGTGAAGGTTATTGTTTTTCAGCCACGGGTGTTGGGAGATTTCTGCATAACAGCTGTTCAGTCGCAAACTGGAATTACTTGGAGCCAAAGGAGTGATGTTGTGTAGTGTTCTGTGTATTGTCATTGTTTGCTGATGAGACTGTTTAATTGAATGCTGTCTGTGGCACACGGGCTCTGAAGTAAAAGAGCATCAAGGTACAGAACCCTTTCTCTACCAGTGTTATTCTTTCCTCTTCCTTCATTAAGGCATCAAACATTTTTTCTTCAAATCATGGAGATTCGTGTCAAAAGCATTAAGCCCAATCATCACCTCACAGAACTTTGTGGATCCCACAGTATACAGAAACATGAGGTAGAAACATGTTCTAAAATTTTTATTCTATAGCTTAGTAGTAACAGAAACCAGAGGAGATTGAACCTTCCTTGGCTGTGCTACGTGGTGAGTTCTCTCAGGAAAAATGCCTGTATAAAGTGCTATTACACTCTCTAAATCTAATCTTTTTTTTTTTTTTTAGCTGTGCCACTATGAAAAGTGAGTCTTTTGGCACAAACCTACCAGTCAGTCTCCTTTCAGTCTAACCAGCTACATTTCTGTATCATTTTATTGTTCCAGGGGTTGTTTGAAGTTAACAGCCAGGAAGCAGTTGGATTTATTTCAAGAACTGAGTTTCCTGCCAGTTTGTCAGAGTGATTTGCTGGTGTTCTGCATACTATAAAGATGTCTCAGTTTCTCATCTTGAAAACTAGGAATGGAATCAATACCATACATCCAAATGACAGTTATATGCAAACTATAGGTGCTACATGGAAATGCATGGGGTAAATAGCTTTGTTAGCATTCTTTGGGAACTGTTCAGCAGTGAGATTTCCTTGGTGCTGTTTAAAGTAATAATAATGTCACTCCTCCTGATTCCTTTTGGCCTGACATTTATTATTGGTTTGGGTATACCTGCTGGAAAGTCTTTAAAATCTTGTACTTTTGGCTGCCTTTTCATGGTGGCTGTAATCTGATGTAAAGGGAGAAGGAAAAATATAGGAGGAGGAAAGTGCTCATCCACACCACGATGCACAGTGAAGATCTGCTTGAAAAGTGGTTTTTTGGAGATGTCACTGAGGTTTGTGTTCACATAGCGGCTTTTCACTACAGCACACCCAAAGTGTCATGGTGGCAATGGGACAAAGGGGACAAAAGTATTTCTGTCGTGGTTTTTGTCAGCTCAGTGATTTTCTCCGGTGCTGAGATGCTGCCCTAAAATGATTTGAGAAAGCCCTTCTGGATCTGTTCTCCCTCCTGGGTGCTGAAAGGCTGTTCTGGGTGTGTGCTGCTGCTGGGTCAATTCTGGCAGGATTGAGCATATGCAGCCCCTGCAATATAATCACAGAATGGTTTGGGTTGGAAGGGACCTTAAAGATCATCCAGTGCCACCCCCTGCCATGGGCAGGGACACCTTCCACTAGCCCAGGTTGCTCCAAGCCCCGTCCAACCTGGCCTTGAACACTTCCAGGGATCCAGGGGCAGCCACAGCTTCTCTGGGCAACCTGTGCCAGGGCCCCACCACCCTCACAAGGAAGAATTTCTTTCTACTAATCAATCTAACCCTACTCTCTTTCAGTTTAAAGCCATTCCCCCTTGTCCTGACACTGCATGTGACGTGGAAGGGACACTGAGGGTGAGACTTATCCAGGGGACTTCAGTGTCACCCCCGAGTCAGGACTTCATCATCATTTGCAGTGAAATGCTCTTGTCTTTCTGCCTTATCCATGAGCACTGTTGACCAGGCACAGTGCCTGATTAGTTGCTAACATTTCAGAAAAGCTGATTATTGGGTGCAATGACTGCAGAGCAGCTGATATCAAAAGCAATTAAAAATACCGAG